AACAATGACTAGATAGACTGGGTGAAGATTTAAGAAGATACAGCAAGACATGAAAAAACCCAAGAGAGACTAAAGTTGTAAAGAAAGGAAAGAGAATTGCCACGGAGGAATAATAATAGGAAGGTCCAAGTAAAGAAAAAGAAGATATTGCGAGACTGCGCGAGACTTTAGGAGAAGTGAAGAGACCCTAGAGAGATGGGAAAAAAACGTAAAGAAAGGAAAGGGAAAGAGAAGCAGCACAGGAATAACAACAAGACAGACTGCCCAAAGAATAAGGGGGAAAATAATTATTAATAATAATTAATAAACAATAATAATAATAATTGAAATAAATAAATAAATAAAACAAGATAGGTGCAAAGAGGAGAAGAAAGGTAAGACTAAGAGGACGCCGAAAGAGAAAGGTTTAGTCCAGAACAGGAAATCAGATAGACAGAGGAAGCCAAAAGGAGACAGAAGGGACAGACAACAGTCAAGAAGCTAGAAGCTAGAAGATTCAATAATAATAATAATAATAATAATAATAATAACAACAACAATATATATATATATATATATATATATATATATATAGATAGATAGATAGATAGATAGATATATATAGCAATAATAAAAATGACTAAGGCAAGAACGAGAAGAGATAGAAAATTCCACAAGAAGCAGGGGAAAATAGAAAGATAAATAGACAATTAAGACACCCAAACCACCCAAGAAGACACACTGAAGGAGAGAAAGTAAGGGATTGTAGTAAGAATAGGAGACAAAGAAACAGAAGGGGGGACTAGAAGAGTAATAAAAGGCCATAAATAATCGAATATCAAGACATGGCCACTCCAAAAATGAAGGGAGAAAAAGATATTAAAGAAATAAAAGAAATTAAAGGTACAGCAAGAAGAGGCTCAGGAACAGAAGAGACAGTAAACAAAGAGATCTTGAAAGAAATTCAGAAGCTATCAGAGAAACAGGATGAGCTGCAGAAGAATTTCCAAACAATGGAGACTAAACAGGAAGAACGACAGAAACTACTTTACGAGGAAATGCAGAACTGGAAAAAGGAAATAACTAATGAAGTAAGCATGATAAAAGATCAAATGAACCAGATGGCAAGCGACATCAAAATAATTAAAGAGGACAAAGTTAAATCTGAAGAGGCCCATAAACAACTTGATCAAAAAGTACAAAAGCTAGAAAAGAGACTAAATAAACTGAAGAAATTCAGGAAAGAATGGAAATAAAAGAGATGGAATTCCAACTAAGATATAGGAACATAACTGAAGAACCAAAAGAAAATATACGACACATCATCCTGAAACTGACACCATCCCTACTCAATAAAGAACAAGAAGAACTAGACCAGGAAATAGAGTCTACAGAATAACAACTAATTTTTTAAAAAAGAATAAAAAACCCGGGATACAATCGTACATTTTGCTAAGAAAAGAATTAGGGATGAGATCCTAAAAAATAACAGGGAAGCCCCACCCTTCTACAAAGATAAGAAAGTGACAATAATGAAGGAATTGCCACGGACTATACTTAATAAAATAAGAAAATACTCCTATCTTACAGAAGAACTTTAGAAACTTGCAGATAAGATTCAGGTGGGAGAAACCTGAAGGATTGATGGTGAGGTACAAAGAGCAAAAACACTGGCTGACCAGAGAAGAGAAGGCAGCAAACTTTTATGAACTTATGAAAGACCACGAATTGTCACTGACAGAACAAAGATTACTAGGAGGTAAACAGAAAAAAAGACGATTCGATTCCCCAGATTACACAAAAAATACTTACTCCAAGACAAAGACCCCAAGCAACAGACCAGAAACCACAGATGATGAACCAGAAGAGATTCAAAATAAAATAAATGAGTGAAACCCTAAGAAAAATAAAATGTTTTTCCATTAACGTAAATGGTTTTAATGTGCCAGTGAAAAGAAGAAAGTTATTTAATCAAATTAAGAAGGGTAGCTATGATCTCATAGCAATACAGGAAACACACATTTCACAAAAACAAGCATGATATAAATATCTGATATGCAGAATGTATTTTCATTGACTGGACAAAATTTGGCACAAATACCAAATATGCCGAAATTTGAATACTGGTGGGAATGGGGGGGAGGGTTGATTTTGTCATTTGGGAGTTGTAATTGCTGGGATTTATTGTTCACCTACAATCAAAGAGCCTTCTGAACCCCACCTATGAGAGAATTGGGCCAAACTTCTCACACAGAACCCCCATGACCAACAGAAAATAGTTTTCTGATGGTCTTTGGTGACCCCTCTGACACCCGCTCGTGACCCCTCCATGTGTCCCAACCCCCAGTTTGAAAAACACTGGTCTAACAGATACACTTTTTCTCTCCCACCCATAATCTCATCCTGGCCAAGACCAACCCTTTTGGGATCCAAATGTTTCCTGCCTTTCCTTCACTTTCTGCCTCCTAAAGAGAAGAAGAAGGGGAGGAAAGGGCAGGAAGGGGACTTGGATATCAATTCTACAGTGTAAAGAAGCACTTCCAATGTGCTGGAAAAAGCAAAGACCACCAGCATTGAAGTGATGCTCCTCTGCCATCAACTCCGCTGGACCAGCCACGTTGTCCGAATGTCCGATCACTGTCTCCCAAAGCAGATACTCTACTCCGAACTCAAGAACGGGGAAATGGAATGTTGGAGGACAGGAAAAGAGATTTAAAGATGGCCTTAAAGCCAGTCTTAAAATCTGTGGCATAGACACCAAGAACTGGGAAGTCCTGGCCCTTGAGCTCTAACTGGAGGTCAGCTGTGACCAGCAGTGCTGCGGAATTCGAAGAGGCATGAACAAAGGGAGAAAGGGAGAAATGTGCCAAGAGGAAGGTGCATCAGTTTCCAGATAGAAGGCTGACTGGGGCAGACTTCTACCTGGAAACCAATGTCCTCATTGTATTGTCGAAGGCTTTCATGGCCGGAATCACTGGGTTGTTGTAGCTTTTTTCGGGCTATATGGTCATGTTCTAGAGGCATTCTCTCCTGACGTTTTGCCTGCATCTATGGCAAGCATCCTCGCTACCTCTGAGGATGCTTGCCATAGATGCAGGAGAAACGTCAGGAGAGAATGCCTGTAGAACAGGGGTCCTTAAACTACGGCTCTGGGGCCGCATATGACCCTTCACCCGGCCGTCACTCAGAGTCAACTTAAGTCTGAAACGACTTGAAAGCACACAACAACAAGAACAACAACAACAATCCTATCTCATCAGTAAAAAGCAGACCACACTTCCCACTGAAATACTAATAAGTTTATATTTGTTTTCATTATTGTATTAAAAGTTTTTTTTCGCACTACAAATAAGATAGTCCAATGTGGGCTAGGCAAAATTACGGTGAGGTGGATCTGTAATTGGTTAAATTGACCAACCCAGAGGGTGCTCACCAATGCTTCCTCTTCATCTTGGAAAGAAGTGACAAGTGGAGTGCCGCAGGATTCTGTCCTGGGCCCGATCCTGTTCAGCATCTTTATTAATGACTTAGATGAAGGGTTAGAAGGCATGATCATCAAGTTTGCAGACGACACCAAATTGGGAGGGATAGCCAATACTCCAGAGGACAGGAGCAGGATTCAAAACGATCTTGACAGATTAGAGAGATGATTGGCCAAAACTAACAAAATGAAGTTCAACAGTGACAAATGCAAGATACTCCACTTTGGCAGGCAAAATGAAATGCAAAGATACAGAATGGGGGACAATGCCTGGCTCGAGAGCAGTACGTGTGAAAAAGATCTTGGAGTCCTCGTGGACAACAAGTTAAACATGAGCCAACAATGTGATGTGGCGGCAAAAAAAGCCAATGGGATTTTGGCCTGCATCAATAGAGCATAGTGTCTAGTCCAGGGAAGTCATGCTACCCCTCTATTCCGCTTTGGTTAGACCACACCTGGAATATTGTGTCCAATTCTGGGCACCACAATTCAAGAGAGATATTGACAAGCTGGAATGTGTCCAGAGGAGGGTGACTAAAATGATCAAGGTTCTGGAGAACAAGCCCTATGAGGAGCGGCTTAAGGAGCTGGGCATGTTTAGCCTGAAGAAGAGAAGGGAGAGGAGATATGATAGCCATGTATAAATATGTGAGAGGAAGCCACAGGGAGGAGGGAGCAAGCTTGTTTTCTGCTTCCTTGGAGACTAGGACACGGAACAATGGCTTCAACCTACAAGAGAGGAGATTCCATCTGAACATGAGGAAGAACAACTTCCTGACTGTGAGAGCCGTTCAGCAGTGGAACTCTCTGCCCCGGAGTGTGGTGGAGGCTCCTTCTTTGGAAGCTTTTAAACAGAGGCTGGATGGCCATCTGTCAGGGGTGATTTGAATGCAATATTCCTGCTTTGTGGCAGGGGGTTGGACTGGATGGCCCATGAGGTCTCCTCCAACTCTTTGATTCTATGGTTCTATGATTCATTCATGTTTTTTCAAATTATAATCCGGCCCTCCAACAGTTTGAGGGACTGTGACCTGGCCCTCTGTTTTAAAAAGTTTGAGGACCCCTGCTCTAGAACATGGCCATATAGCCCGAAAAAAATCGACAACAACCCAATGTTCTCATTGCAGGAGAAGATGCAGGTCAAAAATAGGGCTCCACAGCCACCTACGGACCCACCACCAAGTAAGTGTAAGTAAGTAGGGAAGTAAGTATGGAAGTATGCCTTAGTAAGTAAGTAAGTAGGGAAGCACTATAATTCCATAGCCCTGGCAGCAAAAGTGGCCTCGGTTTCACACCAAACTACAAACTCCAGATTTTGACACTGAGCTGTGGGTGGCATTTTAAAGTGGAGTCAAAGTGCATTGATTCTACATTTGAGATGCACCTCTTGTCAGGTTTGCAATTGTCGGAAACTGCAGACCCGACTTCCCCTCAGAACCCATGACAAAGGGACACCACCCTCGCTTTCATCCAGTCCGTAGCTTTCGCTTCTTTTCGGTCCACTTCGGAGGAAATAGCTTTCGGTTTCCATTTCCCAAGCTCCAGATCGAGAAGCGGTTCTGCGGAAGGCTTTAAAAGCAGAGTGGAAACCGCCCATCGCCGGCAGTCTTGGCAGAGAGATAAGGCGGAGAACCCACAGCATCGTTTACCTCCTTTTGCCGGGATTAAGAGCGGGTAAGTAACGGGACGGAGATGGGAATCCTGACCGGGCAGAGTTCTCTTGAGATCTAGAAGTGAGGCTTCATGAATCCTAAAATGCTTTGGGAGGGCAAAGAGTGGCTTTCCAGCATCTCAATTAGAACCCAAAGCTTTGGAAAAAGTTGCTTCGAAAATAGAGTCCTAGAGTTGGAAGAGACCTCATGGGCCATCCAGTCCAACCCCATTCTTCCAAGAAGCAGGAAAATTGCATTCAAAGCACCCCGGCAGATGGCCATTCAGGCTCTGTTTAAAAGCTTCCAAAGAAGGACATCTACTACGCCTTGGGGCAGAGAGTTCCACAGCTGAACAACTCTCAGCACCCCCGACAGATGGCCATCCAGACTCTGCTTAAAAGCTTCCAAAGTAGGAGCCTCTACCACACCTTGGGGCAGAGAGTTCCACTGCTGAACAACTCTCAACACCCCCGACAGATGGCCATCCAGMCTCTGYTTAAAAGCTTCCAAAGAAGGAGCCTCTACCACACCCTGRGGCAGAGAGTTCCACAGCTGGACAACTCTCAGCACCACCGACAGATGGCCATCCAGCCTCTGTTTAAAAGCTTCCAAAGAAGGAGCCTCTACCACACCCTGGGGCAGAGAGTTCCACAGCTAAACAACTCTCAGCACCCCCGAGAGATGGCCATCCAGTCTCTGTTTAAAAGCTTCCAAAGAAGGAGCCTCYACCACACCTTGGGACAGAGAGTTCCACTGTTGAACAACTCTCAACAYCCCCGACAGATGGCCATCCAGCCTCTGTTTAAAAGCTTCCAAAGAAGGAGCCTCTACTACACCTTGGGGCAGAGAGTTCCACTGCTGAACAGTTCTCACAGTCAGGAAGTTCTTCCTAATGTTCAGGTGGAATCTCCTTTCTTGTAGTTTCTAGCATCTTAGTCTCTAGGGCAGCAGTAAACAAGCTTGCTCCTCCCCCCCTATGGCTTCCTCTCACATATTTATACATGCCTATCATGTCTCCTCTCAGCCTTCTCTTTTGCAGGCTAAACATGCCCAGCTCTTTAAGCCGCTCCTCATAGGGCTTGTTCTCCAGACCCTTGATCATTTTAGTCGCCCTCCTCTGGACACATTCCAGCATGTCAATATCTCTCTTCAATTGTGGTGGCCAGAATTGAAGTAGTTGTAAACAGGAGGGAATTTCGTTACAATTAGTGGGTTACTGCGTTACGCTCCCAAAATAAATGCCTGTGAAAGGATGCATCTTCGACACCAGGCATGGGCAAACTTTGGCCCTCCAGGTGTTTTGGACTTCAACTCCCACAATTCCTAACAGCCGGTAGGCTGTTAGGAATTGTGGGAGTTGAAGTCCAAAACACCTGGAGGGCCAAAGTTTGCCCATGCCTGATCTACCCTATAAAATTAATGCAGCCTGACACCACTTTAAATGTTATGGAATCCTGGGAGTTGTAGCTTTAAAAGCTCTTTAGCCATATCTGCCAAGGAGTGCTGGTGCCTCGCTAATTTCAAACTCCCTGGATTCCATAGCCATGAGCCACAGTGGTGTCAAACTGCATTAATTCCATAGTGTAGATCAGGGGTGTGAAACTCATTTTTATTCAGAGCCACATCAGTGTAATGGTTGCCTTCAAAGGGCTAGAGAGAGGATCTGTGGATACAGAATCCGTGGATACAGAGGGCCAACTACAGAGGGCCGTGAATACATAGGGCTAACTATAATTTTTGTACTTTGTGGTGGATGTTTTGTAGTTTTTTAAAACTCTGTTTGGATTCCCTCCCATCACTTTTGATTAACCTCCATGAGCGCTGGGGATAATGGGAATAGCCATCCAAAAGCATTTGGGGCTCTGAGGTTGGGAAAAGATTAGAAGATATTTGAAAGTCACACAATCGCATCAGAAAGCCTTGTACCTAAATTCAAACCCCCATTTTCCTGACTAGACAGGACAAACTGTAGCGTGACAGATGCTATTGTATCACAACTCCCTTTGGCAATGATGATTTTAAGTTTTTAACATTTTACCTCATACATTTGGCCCGTCTCTCTTTGTCTGATTTTATTATGCTATTTTATATTGTTGATTTTATTTATTTCATATTTTGTTATGATGTATTTTTTGTTACTTTGTGTTTAATTATTATTTTGGGCTTGGCCTCATGTAAGCCACCCCGAGTCCCCTTTGGGGAGATAGTGGCAGGTTATAAATAAAGATGATGATGATTATTATTAGGAATACAGGAGTTGTAGTCCAGCATCTGGAGGGTCACATAAAACGACATGGCCTTTCATTTGACATATATGGTGTAGATAAGTGGTTCTCAACCTTCCTAATGCCACGACCCCTTAATGCAGTTCCTCATGTTGTGGGACACCCCCCCCCCCGAACATTATTTTCGTTGTTTCTTCATAACTGTAATTTTACTACTGTTATCAATCATAATGTAAATATCTGATATGCATTATGTATTTTAATTCACTGGATCAAATTTGGCACAAATACCTGATATGCCCATATTTGAATACTGTTGGGGTTGGGGGGTTATTTTTTTCATTTGGGAGTTGTAGTTGTAGGAATTCATAGTTAACCTACAATCAAAGAGCATTCTGAACTCCACCAACAATGGAATTGAACCAAAGTTGGCACACAGAACTCCCATGACCAACAGAAAATACTGGAAGTGTTTGGTGGGCATTGACCTTGAGTTTGGGAGTTGTAGTTCACCTACATCCAGAGAGCACTTGTGCCGGCTGGACTGCCAACCTGAAGGTTGGGTTGCTGACCTGAAAGTTGCTGGTGAGCTTTCAGGGACGTGAAAGAAGCCTCCCGGCCATTCCCTGGCGAACATCTCTGTAGATGGTCAATTCTCTCACACCAGAAGCAACTTGCAGTATGTTTTCAAGTTGCTTCTGACACGATTAAAAAATTGCTTTTGGTGCCTGTGGAGTATTTCCTTTAAAACAAATGAACCACAAACCTGGAATTTGGGCACAAAGAATATTAATATATAATGAGTACATAGGATACAAAAGGAAGTGGATATATGAACCCCGCTTGAGCTACCTATCATCATGCATCCATGTAGCTAGGAGAGTAAGTGTATATCTGCACTGTAGAGTTAATGTGGTTCTGACCTCACCTTAACCACCATGATTCAATGGTGTGGAATCACAGGAGCTGTAGTTTCAAAAGGTCTTTAGCCTTCTCTGCCAAAGAGGTCTGGTGTCTCGCCAAACGACAGCTCTCAGGATTTCATAGCATTGAGTCGTGGCAGTTAAGGTTGTGCCAAACTGCATCGGTTCTACAACAGAGATGCACCTTGTGTCAGGAAGGGATGTTGTGTTACCTTCCAGATGTTGTGTTGGACTACAACTCCTATATTTCCTACCCAGCATATCCAGTGTTGGACTTCAACTCCCGTGACCTCCAGCTCCAATAATCAGTAGGGAAGAATACTAGGCACTACAGTATTTAGAGTGTTGTATGTGATGAATTTGCATTTTCACCCCCAGTCCAAGCTTTTCTGTACCTGCTGGGCGCTGTCATGTGTGGCAGTCCTCCACAAAACTAGGAAAAGAATAACTAATTGTTGCAAAGACCACTCCCAAATCATCAATATCCCAGAGAGGGCCCTCCATAAAATGGCATGGGTGTACTGCAGAGCAAGCCTGGCAACTCATGCTGACTCACTGTGGCGGAAAGATAAATAAACAGCAGGGAATTGGGGATTAATTTGAACACTGCCTGATCGATGTAGACCAGAGTTCTGGAGGTTGAAATGATCAGCCCATCTGCCAGATCTCATAGATCTTGAAGTTACTTTTATTCTTGGTCTGGATTAAGTGTAATTAGATTTAGAGTCAGTTATGTGGATGGCATGTTATGTCGAGCTCAGACTTGTAATTTCTTTGTATAGTTTATATGCAGTGTATTTACACAGATTATGCTAACATAGTTCTGTTTGGATAACAGTTCGCAGCTTGTATTTTGTCATGTTATATCGAGCCCCTGGAGACACAGTGGGTTAAAGCATTGAGCTGCTGAACTTGTTGACCGAAAGATCGCAGGTTCGAATCCGGGGAGCGGCATGAGCTCCTGTTGTCAGCCTCAGCTTCTGCCAACCTAGCAGTTTGAAAACATGCAAATGAAAGTAGATCAATTAGGTACCGCTCCGGTGGGAAGGTAACAGCTTTCCATGCAGTCATGCTGGCCACATGACCTTGGAGGTGTCTACGGACAACACCAGCTCTTCGGCTTAGAGATGGAGATGAGCACCAACTCCCAGAGTTAGACATGACTGGACTTAATGTCAGGGGAAAACCTTTACCTTTACTCTATGCGGATGACATTATTCTCTATGCCAGTGTTTCTCAACCTGGGGGTCGGGAGGGGGTGTCCAAGGGGTCGCCAAAGATCATCAGAAAACACAGTATTTTCTGTTGGTCATGGGGGTTCTGTGTGGAAGTTTGGCCCAATTCTATGGTTGGTGGGGTGCAGAATGCTCTTTGACTGTAGGTGAACTATAATTCCCAGAAACTACAACTGCCAAATGTCAAGTCTATTTTCCCCAAACTCCACCAGTGTTCACATTTGGGCATATTGAGTATTCATGCCAAGTTTGGTCCAGATCCATCATTGTTTGAGCCCACAGTGYTCTCTGGATGTAGRYRAATTACAACTCCAAAACTCAAGGTCAATGCCCACCAGACCCTGCAGATATTTTCTGTTGGTCATGGGAGTTCTGTGTTCCAAGTTTGGTTCAATTCCATTGTTGGTGGAGTTCAGAATGCTCTTTGATTGTAGATGAACTATAAATCTCAGCAACTACAACTTCCAAATGACAAAATAAATCCTCCCCAACCCCACCAGTATTCAAATTTGGGCATATGGGGTATTTGTGCCAAATTTGGTCCAGTGAATGAAAATACATCCTGCATATCAGATATTTACATTATGAGTCATAACTGTAGCAAAATCACAGTTATGAAGTAACAATGAAAATAATATTATGGTTGGGGGTCACCACAATATGAAGGGGTCGTGGCATTAGGAAGGTTGAGAAGCACTGCTCTATGCCTTTAAGAAGAACTCTCCTCTCCTGAGAAGAGACTGAACTTGGGAAGCATTCACCCTGTAGAATTAATGCAGTTCAACCCCACTTTATCACTGCCATGGCTCAATGTTTCTGGGAGTGATAGTTTTGTAGGGCATTAGCCTTCTCTGCCAAAGTGTGCTGTGCCTCACCAAACTACAACTCCCATGATTCCATTGCATTGAATAATGGCTGTTAAAGAGATGTCAAACAAGCGTTGGAAAGCTTCCCCCCCCCTTCTTTTTTAAAGTAAAGACCATACACATATTCCCCATTATTTAGCTAAAAGAAATACCTTTCTATGACTGATAGAGAGCCGTAAGGTAGCAGAGAAACATCAGGCAGCTGGAGGTAGATAACAATTTTCTTTTGAGTTTTGGTTTGAAAGATGACTCATTCCTTGTGGTTAATGTGTTTCGCTGACAGTAAGCAGGTAAGTCAGGGCTTTGTGGTTTTCTTCCCACAAAACCTCTTTGACCAGAGTAACGGATGAAAGAAAGAAAATAAGATGTACCTGCACATACCCCTGCAAGCATCACCTGCTTTCAAACCACTTCCACTTTTCTTAAGCCTCCAGATTAAGATCTCAGCAGTCTTTAAGTGGCCTAGTATAACAACAAGTACATAATATCACCTACAAATTCTTAGTGTGATTACATGTTATGTGGATGACCTCATTCGCTGTGCCTTTAAGAAGAACTCGGCTCTCCTGAGAACAGATCTAACTTGGGAAGCTGAGATCCACACTTTTTTCCCTATACTTTTTTTCATTTTATGTAATTTTCTCTCCACTTTTGCAGGTTTGAGAATGTCTCAAGGGAAGAAAAAGAGGTAAGAATGGATGTACCTGGACTTACGTTGCTATCCATATATAGGCAGTCCCCAAATGACAAACAAGAGAGGTTCTGTAGGTTTGTTCTTAAGTTGAATTTGTATGTAAGTTAGAAGAGGGACATTTTAAACTCCAGCCAAAGATTTTTTAAGCTTTGGGTAGCATAGTAAGGGTTAACACCCCTTCAGTGTTTGTTTTGTTGTAGATGCACAAGGTCTTTAGCCTTCTGTGCCAAAGAGTACTGGTGCGTCACCAAACAACAGTTTCAGGGTTTTGTAGTATTGATCCATAGCAATTAAAATTGTGTCAAACTACATTAATTCTATTGTAGGTGCACCCTGGTATTATTATATTATATAATAATTATTTTGAATATACTGAGCCAGCCTTATAATATTTATTATTATTATTATTATTATTATTGACACAAAAACACAATATGTCACAGCAACGAGATCTATATGCTGGATTTCGTATCACAAAATCACAAGTCGAAGACTTCCCAAGCATCTAGGACTGTGTGATGTATTTTTGAATGATGTGCGCAGATCCAAGTAAGGTAGCCTTTTGCAGTTGACAGATTGTGATTTTGTCAATGTTTATGGTTTCCAAATGCCATCTGAGATCTTTTGGCACGGCACCCAGTGTACCGATGACCACTGGGACCACCTGTACTGGTTTATGCCAGAGCCTTCGCAGTTCGATTTTGAGGTCTATTATTAATTATTATTATTATTATTATTATTATTAAATATGGCAAAAATGAGCTTGTGACCCTCTTGCATGCAAATACAGCCAGCTACTTTATACTGAGTTAGCCTATGAAATCCGTGGGATTATAATAAGATGTAAGAGTATGTGGGATCCAATTAGGAATTACAATGTGACAATCCATCCCCGTTGATGGGTTGTCACCTTGTCATGGTGAGGGGGCTTGCGTGTTCCAATGAACCTGCGGGTGTAACCCCCGGAGTCATATACTTCCAGGAGGGGCTGCGGGGGAGGTTCTAGATCAAGCACAGTCTGAAGACCTCGATGGTGGATCTGGCGGAGGATAACATGGTACATGTTACAACAGCTGTGAAGGCAGAAGAAGGCTGCAACAGAATGAGAAGCCACTGTTGTCATGTTAACCATGCCACTGGTTGGGACCTCACTCCGTGAAGACTGTGTATTGATCAGCTGTGCACCAACCTCCACACATTGAAAAAAACTCATGCACAGGTGTCTTCCAAGAAAAATATAAACAAACCAACAAAAGTCCCATGGCAATCAGTGAGTGGCGACGGGGGCAGGACTGTGAAATCTGGAAGCCCCTAGTCACAGACTGGCACATGGGCGGTGGATCTGGATTCAGTCATTCTATCTCAAGGTCGAAGGCAGTTGAGCAGTCAAGTCAAGTTGGCTACTTGGATCTGCGCAAATAGATGAAAACCAGATTATTAAGTACAATATAAAATACACAATTAAAATCCCACAAATCATTAAAATGCTACATTTATCGATGGTGGGATGCACCCTTAAAATACTACATAATGTATGGACTTGCACCTGTGTAATTAAAAACTAGGTAAAACCCAAATATACAGCATTATTAAAATTACATAAACAGCCACTATTAGTTAAAAGCATCCCCAGCACAGTCGACTGCAATATCCGAAATTAGTCTTGTTCCGATTTTCTGTGCTGCCAGGACAAAAAGAGACACCTTGTGAGTAACCACAGGGTTAGTAGTTGAGTAGTCCAGCAGATGTATCCATGACTGAGCAGTCCTTTTTTAGGATCCGCCCTGCTCACCCCACATGGGAAAGGGGCTAGAAAAGGTGCCCTAAACATAGTCTGTCTCTCTTATCCCTGACTGGACTGCCACATCCAGAGGAGTCACCACCCTGCGGCCAAAAATGAAAAATGAACTTTGGAACATGGAATGTACGGACACTGTTGGACAACACTGACAATGAACGCTCCGAATGCAAGACTGCTATTATTGCAAGGGAGCTGGGACACTTTAACAACGACATAGAAGCACTTCAGGAGACCCGGAAAGCAGGAGAGGGACAGCTGAAGGAAGAAAAAGGAGGCTACACCTTCTTCTGGAAGGGACTGCCTGAAGAAGAACGAAGAATACATGGAGTTGGCTTTGATCAGAAATGACCTGGTGAAGCACCTGACTGAAGCACCCATTGGCATTAACAAACGACTCCCAACCATCCAAATTAACCTTGCCAAAAACCAACAGGCAACCATCAGAATTGCCTATGCACCAATACAAGACGCAGATGAAGACATCAAGGAACATTTTTAATATCATCTGGACATCATCCTATCAGAGATACCTAAGGAGGACAAAATCGTCCTCCTGGGAGATTTTAATGCAAGAGTCAGGTGAGACTTCGACCTGTGGCCAGGGACCATAGAAAAAGACAGGATTGGAAACAGCAACTCGAATGGCATCCTGCTTCTCACCAACAACCTTGTCATCACCAACATGCTCTTCCGCCAGAAAAACAAGCTCAAAACATCATGGAAGTATTCCCGGTCAAAGCATTAACACCTTTTAGACTATGTAATTACACATGCTAGATACCTCCACGACGTGCTTCTCACAAGCGCCATGATAGGTGCTGATGACTGCTGGACAGACTACAGGTTAATCTGATCCATGACAGCTATCAAGATCGCCCCCAAACACACACTCCAAGGAAATTGCTCCATTTGGAAATCACTGCATTTCTCAACTCCTTCTTCACTATCCTCTCATTGCTAATGTTGATTAAAACATTCAGCTTTGCTCTTGGGTAGGCTTGGGAGGAGCAAGGAATACTCAAGGTGTGGCTACACTGTAGCATTAATGCAGTTTAATCCCACTTTAGCTACCATAACTCAATGCTGTGGAATCTTAAAAGTTGCAGATGTTCAAGGTCTTTAGCCTTCCGTGTCAAAGAGTGCTGGTGCGTTACCAAACTACAGCTTCGGGATTTTGTAGCATTGAGCCATGATAATTAAAGTAGTGTCAAACTGGATTAATTCTATAGTAGGTGCACCCTGCATGTCCCCTCTCTGATGAAATGAAAATCACACATAGTTCACGTTGGATCATCCCGTGCACTGCCTTGCCAGAGAAAGAAAATATGGCACACAGATGAACAGTAAAGAACAAGTAGTTTACACTTCATAATTTAGAACAACATATTTACAATCATGTGATCAGTTGCGTTGACTCACATAATGTCCTTTAATGAGAGATTTAAAATGGTCTTTCTTTGTCCATGAGGAGAATCTTCCTCCAGCAGCTCATGAAGCAAGAGCACACTGTTGTACTCTAGAGCAGGATCCCCTCTGCCTTTAAACACCACACAGATGGGTTAAAATAGCAAGCAGTTTATTGAGGATAATAAAAGCCACAGCAATAAAAAGCAATGTACAGTAAAAAGGTAAATAACAACAAAGGCACTTAAATCCATGAATCAAACAAAAACAAGAGTCCAAGAACTTGGCATGAAGATCTTAACCTGAATCCAACATTGCTTCGTCTGAAGTCAAATTCCGTACTTGGCACTTCTATCCCTGCCCTAATTCCCAAACAACTAGGAAAGGTTCTTTGTTAATTTTGTTTTCACTTCTAACTTCTGCTATAATCTGGCTGAGCGCAGGAATTGTTGACCTGTTTGTCTTTGCTGACTGAAAGTACTTCTCCTGTTCAATGCTTCACTGCTAATCCCATCATTAAAATCTCCACCTGGAGATAACTGACCAGGGAACTGTGGTACAGAGCCTTTCCCAAGCTAAGACCTTGAGAATCCTCGTGCAGCAATACAGTCCTCTGCGACCCATCATCTAAACTGCATGTAGGTCCCACATCTCCAAAACCAGGCTCAGGAAACAAAACATTATCCCCATTCCCTTCAGGAACATCTTCAAGGGCAGTATCCCCATTTCTGTCAGGCAAATCAGCTTGAACATTAACATCATTGCCATTCCCCTCATCCTAAACAACCTGACCATCAGACACAATTTCACACTGAACAGCCTGACATACAACACACACTGCAAAATCTGTCTCCCTTTCTACTTCTCTCTGAGCACCTGCATAGCTCAAGCCTGAAAAATGCAACAGTATCCAAAAGTCCTAGTCTGTCTTGGCCACAGTGGTCCATGCTCTTGTTACATCCCGAATAGATTACTGCAAAGCGCTCTATGTGGGGTTGCCCTTGAAGACTGTTCAGAAGCTTCAACTGGTCTGGCAGTGCGGCAGCCAGGTTACTAACAGGCGCAGCACTCAGAGAAACACACTAATCCTCTGTTGCGTCAGCTCCACTGGCTGCCAATTTGCTACCGAGCACAATTCAGAGTGCTGGCTTTAGCCTATAAAGCCCTAAACGATTCCGGCCCAGCTTACCCGTCGGAATGTATCTTCTCCTATGAACCATCGAGGAGCTTAAGATCATCTGGGGAGGCCCTGCTCTCGATCATGCCTGTCTCGCAAGTGCGATTGGCAGAGATGAAGGACAGGGCCTTCACAGTGGTGGCCCCCTGGCTATGGAACTCCCTCCCCAGGGATATTAGATCGGCCCCCTCCCTCCTGACTTTCCGAAAAAAAGTAAAGACCTGGCTTTTTGAGCAAGCTTTTGAGAATGCAGAGGAATAGATAACGCAGAACTATGAATGATGAACATGGAATGGCCAGACAATGTTACTGGATAACGTTATTAACAAGATGACACCAATGATTATATGCTTTAAATGTTTTTATATATGTTTTGTATTATAATTTTGATAGTTTTTAATGGCACTTTTATGAATGCCTGACATCGAATTGTGCCAATCCGCAACCCGCCTTGAGTCATCGTATGGCTGAGAAAGGAAGGCTATAAATATTGTAAATAAATAAATAATAGGCTTAACCATCTCCCTGGATGTAGCCAGATCAATCAGCTTCATACATCTTATTTTACAGTTGACGCACACACAGTGACTGATTTCTTACGTGCTCCAACATCCTCCCCCTTTCGTGGGCAACACTAACCATTAAACTTTCTACCTGTCTCTTTTCTTCAGGAAGGGCTTCCGACAGAGATCACCTCCTGTCCTTGAATACTTGCAGGGTATCCTTCGCAAATACCCAGATGGGGGTCAGATCTTAAAGGTGAGTTTTGGTTTTAAAAGGGTTGAGTTCAACATGTTTTTATATCTGGGTTTCTGAGATGGACATAGACAATAGTTATTTGGATGAAGACAAATTTGAATGAAGGTAGAGTTGGGAAACCCTTTCCCATCTCTCTTTCCATGATGAACCAAATTGAGAAAATTGTATCTGTGAGAGATTTTGTGGATTCTTTTTCCCTCAGAGATCCTCTTGATTCTTATTTATTCACACCATTTCTTCCCAAAGGAACTGATCCAAAACGCTGATGATGCAGGTGCTGAGGAAGTGATCTTATTCTACGATGACCGGAGTTTTGGAACGCAGCGCCTTTTTTCCGAGGGGCTGGAGAGCACCCAAGGTACGGAGGATAGGCAGTCCCCGAGTTACAAACATCCAAGTTACAAACGACTGTTAGTTACAAACTGAGCTGAGACGACAGGAAGTGAGATAAATCTACTGCTAGGAAAGAGAATGCTTGGATACTCTCTTGTTTTGGTTTGCTTCCGTCCCAAAAAAACAGGAAAAGAACCTTAGTGTTTGGCTTTAGTTTGTTTTTCTTGTTTTGTTGGGAAAACAAACAAACCAATGAGAATCAGTGTGTATCCTGAAGACACAGTAAATGAAAGCACAGAGCAAATCTTTGTGGTTTGTTTAGTGGCTCCCGGTGCAAGCAGCCTGTGCATGAGTCAAACCAGGGTTCCTTCATTTTCTTTACTTGCTTTGTTATGTAAAATGAGCTGGTGTTATTGTGGGATGTTATCGAACTTCAGAGTTCAGGAAAATTACTTGCTCAGATTTCAATTCCCAGAATATTGTAGACAGTCTCGGCTCTCTTCCTTGCTTTGTTGTGCCAGTCCCTTTTTTTTTTGCCCGTGATTGATTCTCAAGTAAACATGCTAAAACACGCATGAATTTTAATTTGTGCTGGAATTATTATTTTTTAAAAACGTTGCCTTAAGAAAAATGACACTTGACATCAGCGAGCACAGTGTGTATGGGTACATCTACACTATAGAATGAATGCAGTGTGACACCACTTAAATTGCTGTGATTCAGTGCTATAGAATCCCAGGAGTTGTGGTCTTACAAGGTCTTTAGACTTCTCTACAAAGGATGTTGGGGCCTCAACAAACTAAAATCCCAGGATTCTAGAGCATTGATCCATGGCTGTTGAAGTAGTGTCCAAACCACATTAATTCCACAGTGTAGCTGTATCCCTCTAGATTAGGAAAGATTGGCCTTGGTGTAGACAACACAGCAACCATGCCTCTCCCAATCCTTTTTCTAACACAGATTCATAAAAGGGACAGGGATCATCATTCCAGGATGATTCATTCTCTTCCTCCCTAAGGCTCCATCTGCACTGCCATATGAAATCCAGATTATCTGCTTTGAACTGGATTATATGGCATATATATTCATATAACCCAGTTCAAAATAGATAATCTGGAACCAGATACTGGATTATATAGCAATGTAGCTGGAGTCTAACTTTTCAAAGTAATAGTTAATTCAGTATAACTGTACAAATCTATTCCTCAAAGACTTCACTTTTGCAGTGGTTCTCAACCTGTGGGTCCTCAGATGTTTTGGCCTTCAACTCCCAGAAATATGGACCCCCCAGTGGCGCAGTGGGTTAAACCCCTGTGCTGGCAGGATTGAAGGTCGCAGGTTCAAATCAGGGGAGAGCGTGGATGAGCTCCCTCTATCAGCCTCCCACAAGGATGATAAAACATCAAAACATCTGGGCGTCCCTTGGACAGATGGCCAATTCTCTCACACCAGAAGCGACTTGCAGTTTCTCAAGTTGCTCCTGACATGACAAAAAAATAAATAAATAAAAACTCCCAGAAATCCCAACAGCTGGTAAACTGGCTGGGATTTCTGGGAGTTGAAGTCCAAAACACCTGGAGGCCCAAAGGTTGGGAACCGCTGCTCTAGACCAGAGATGGGAAACATTTGGCTCTCTAGATGCTTTGGAATATCGTTCCTTTGACTCTTTACCATTGACCAGGGGTCTTCAAACTAAGGCCCGGAGGCCAGATACGGCCCTCCAAGGTCATTTGAATATGGCTGCCTTTGATGTCCAGTGTGTGTCCATATTAATGGGAAGACTTGCTGTTTGTCCCATATAGGCTACTAAAGGACAATTTTGGTAGTTGTGGGCATACATAATTAATTTGGTCTTGTAATGCTGATTAATGATTGGATGGTTCGCATTGTTATCTCACTGAAGCCCCATCTACACTGCCATATAATCCAGTTTGAACTGCACTGTCAGTGTGGACACACATGATCCAGTTTGATGCAGTTAGGCTGGATTATATGATCATATAATGCAGTTTAAAACTGCATTATATGGCAGTGTAGATGGGGCCCAAGAATATCTGCCACTGGTAGCTTTAGGAAGTTTGTGTGCAAGAAGTTACTTTCCTAAGCTCTAGTTCACCAGCTGAAATTCACCTGTTTGCTTTTTTGAGAAATGCAAACAAGCATGAAAAAGAGTTCTATATAAATAGAGTCATCTTGACGTGCTCACATATTTCTCTCTTAGGCCCTGCACTTCTGGCTTATAACAATGGCATATTTTCGGAGGCTGATTGGAAGGGGATTGAAAGTCCAGGCATCAGTCACAAGAAGAAAGACCCCACGACAGTTGGACGCTTTGGTTTGGGCTTCAATTCAGTCTACCACATGACAGGTGAGAATCTATCTACACCTTCATTTAGGAGACAACTTTTCTTCAGAGGCACAGGGCACACTGTGAGAAAAGGGGAGCAATATATGGGTGCATCTACAAGGTAGAATAAATGCAGTTTGAAACCACTTTAACTGCAGTGGCTAGGTACTATGGAATCATCGAAGTTGTGGTTTCATGAGACACAAGCAGTTTTTTAAGTGGAGAAGACTAAAGACCTTGTGAGACAACATCCCCCATAATTCTATAGTATTGAGCTATAGCAGTTAAAGTGATATCAAACTGCATTAATTCTACAGTATAGATGCATCCTAAGTAAGACTTCATTTACACTGCCATATAATCCAGGTTCAGAATGCAGATAAACTGCATTTAGAAATTGGATTATATGGCAGTGTAGATGGGGTCTTTGAGCAATTTGGTAGGTCATACGGGATAATGGGACACAATTAAGAAACAGAAATAAGCTAGTTATGTATATGATCATAGGAGCAAAAGCACAAATAAAAATACCTAGTATTATTTGTGGCAGAATGAAAATCACACGTAGTTTATTTTTTATCAGTCCACACACTGTCTTGCCAGAGAAAGAAATCTGCTACACAGATGATTAGTAAAGAAGAAGGAGTTTCTTCTTTGTAATTCAGAGCAACATATATCCAATCATGTGAACAGTTGCATTGACTCACACAATGTCCCTTGAGAGAGATTCAAATGGTCTTCAGGTATCCATGTGGAAGGTCTTCTTCTAGCAGCTCGTGAAGCAAGAACTGTCTCTCTCTGTAAGCTCCTGCACAGCTAAAATCTAAATATGTAACTGTTACCAACCCCCCCTGGCTCAGCTAGCTTCTTGGACGTAGCCCAAGCAATCAGTTTCATGCTTTGCATTTTCAGTTAACACACTCACCAACTGATTTTTTTTACATGCCCTAACATTATTCACACACACACACACACACACACACACACACACACACACACACAAGTAAAAAGGAGGGTAGAGATTGTAGAGCTCTGGTTAGTAAATTAGTCCCTCCTTACTTTAAGGAAAAAACTAAAGACGTGGTTTTGGAGCCAGGCCTTTGGCTAGTGGGCACAGCAGCACTTTAGGCACTGAACCCGGACAATAGGATTGTTTGAAAATTGGAAATGGCTTTATGACCTGTGATTATGTAATTTTAATTAATATCGTTGTTTAATTGTTATGTAATGGATTTTACATTGCTGTTTTATATTGTTGTTTTGATACTGTTGGCATTGAATTGTTGTCTGTGTTAGCCGCCCTGAGTCCACCCTCGGAGGGGAGAAGGGCGGGATAGAACTGGTCTAAATAAAATAATAAAAATAATAAATAAATTAGAGTTATATCATTATCTGTTATATCACCAAAGAAGAGGAAGGGGATTTTTTGGGGGGGAGGGCACAGAAAAATTACATTTGTTATAATTATTACATCCATTTCTTCCACACAAATATTATTATACACATCATCTAAAAATTTAACAAGTCCAAATGTCCTCTATAGCAAAGCAGATACAGTCTGTTGTCATCTGATGTCAAGGCTTGTAGTCGTATCATTTCATATCCAGTACTCTTTCAATATTCTTTTCCAGTTCTTTGGATGTAGTTATTCTAATTATTGTCATATGGATCCATGGAATTCAATTCCTTTTGTTAGTAAATTTGTGTGGTATACATGAGAATTCACTACGTCACATTGTCATATAGTTTTCTCTCTTTAACACTTCAGAACAATTATATATTTGTGTGTGTGTATCTATGTCGTTGTAAAATACCTAAATTACAAGGTTTACAATAATCTCTGTTCAAATTAAAAAGTACTACTGTATCAATTATCTAAGGCCTCTAGAGTCTCTTAAATGTAGAATGTGTTAACAGTACACAATGAATCTGTATACAATTTGTATTATTAGTCAACAACTCCTACTGAGGTTATCTTTGTTTTTCTTTATGAATTCAATAAAGGGGTTCCATTCTGCATTTTAATAGTAAGTCTCAAACAACCGGAAACTAAATCCCCATGGGTGCTGGAAAACTCTCTCTCTCTCTCTCTCTCTCTCTCTCTGTGTATAAACTTTTAAAGTGAATTTCTTCTCCTTCAGATTTTCCATCTATATTGTCTGGTGAGTATCTGCTTGTACTGGACACTCAAGCCACAGCATTGGAAGATGGTGGTGAACGCTGGGAAGTGGACGAATGGGAAGATGCACCTGACCAGTTCCAGCCATTTTGGGATTCACTGGCCTCGCTTGGCAAGCCTTGCCCAACTGCTGAGGGCTACTTCCCGGGCACCCTGTTCCGCTTTCCATTGCGACAGAGTCCCTCAAAGATCTCAGAAAATTTGTATAGTACAGAACGAGTGCGGGAGCTGCTTCTCGCTTTTTTGAACGACGCTCCCATTAGCTTGCTTTTCCTCAGAAATGTCCGCAAAGTGACATTGGGTCTCATTGGGTCTGATGGCACCATCACTGAGCTCCTGAGAGCAGAGACGACCACAAATCCACTCAATGGACCAGGCCGTGTTGAAGATGCCACCAGTGCCAAATTGGACACAACTGCCCACATCAAAAAGCTTGCTTTAGATGGCACTACTGTTGACAAACAAGCCACCAGCAATGAGTGGCTAGTGTTGACAGCTGAAGCTAAAAGGGATGCTTACCCAGAGCTGTGGGTTCTCGCTGAAAATGTGAGTTCTAGTCCGACATTGTCTTTGGCTTACTGTTTGCAAGGGAAGTGCGCGGGGCGCCTCAGTTGCGTTCTACCACTTCCCGCCACAGAAGAAAACCTAACAGGCTTGCCGGCACACATCAGTGGCCCTTTCCAATTGACAGACGACCGCAGGCATGTGCAGTGGTCTGAAGAGGGGTCCCAAGCACGTGGGGCCGATGGCCGTTGGAACCACTTGCTTATGGAGGAGATGTTGCCTGCCTCTTATTGCCAAATGGCATTGCAGGCTGCGGGTCATTCCAGCGACCCCTATGGAGCTTGGCCAGACCCAGGCCAAAGCCAGCAACTCCGCTACAAGCCTTTGATAGCTGAGATCTGCCGGAAGTTGATGGACGTGAAACTGTTGGTGCGGGTTGGTGGTGGAATCCCTCGCCTTCTCCATCCCCGGGAGGCCGTCCTCTTGCCAGAGAACGTGAAAGAGACACCAATGGGTTTGGCAGTGGAGAAGGCCCTCACTTTGGCAGGGACATTGCTAGCTGAGGCCCCTCTCCATGTCCGACGAGCCTTGGCCTTGGGTGCCGGAAATGGGCCAACAGTGCAGGAGGCCACCACCAAGTTTATGAGAGAGACCCTGCGGAGAGCAACCAACATCTGGAGTCAGCTCTCCCTGTTGGAGAAAGAGCTGCTGTTGGAATATGTGGTTGGAGATGAGTGCTATCAAGAACTGAATGGTCTACCACTGCTACCAATGGCTAATGGGCACTTCACTTGCTTTGGAGCATCTGGAGAGACTGTATTTGTTGAGAACCAGAGTTTCCCCAGGTGAGCAACTTTTCCATACTTTTGAACCTCAAAGTGACTATGGCTGCTTCTACACTGCCAAATGATGTAGTTTGAACTATATTATATGGTCAGTGTACTGTAGACCCATATGATGCTGTTCAAACCACATTATATAGGCCTATGCTGTCTCTTACTTCCAAATGCTTGTCTCTTATTGCCAAATCATGTTGCTCGCCTTGGGCCATTCTACTGATCCAGACAGGGCCGTAGCTAGAAAAAAAATTCGGGAGGGGTTGAAATTTTCGGGGGGGGGGTGAAACCTGCCTCCTAGCCCACGCTGAAGCAAAGAGCACAGCAAGGGGCAGAGCAGCCTTCAATAGCCTGCAGCTCTGCCCCTGTCAACCACCTCCACCAAGTCTGGCCTCCTTAATGAGAGCATTCAACACACACACACCCAACTTGGTTGCTTCACTACACCAGCTATTGCTGCAAGTAATGACAGTGTGAATAAACTGTCAACATTTGCTTGAGATAGTGCTTGCAGTTCTGGAGGTACTCTTAATTTTTTGCATCTCATAGACTTAGCATGGGAATTTGGTTAACCAGTTAAAATTCATGAGTAAACCAGTTTTTTTAAAAAAAATCTGAAACATTTGGGGGGGGGGTGTTGAACCTCTAACCCTCCCCCCCTCGCTACAGGCCTGGATCCAGACAAAAAACCAGCAACTCTGCTACAAACTGCATTATGCGTGTCTATACTGACCATATAATGCACTTCAAACTGCATTTTTGGCAGTGTGGATCCAGCCCCGTTTAGGATTCGGAAAAATTACCTTTTTGGGCTGTAGATCCTAGAACTAACGGCCAGCTTACTTTTTCAAGCATTGTTTCTCACTTCTTAGGGTCTGGAGTAATACAATTGATTTAACTTACATTGGGGCTTTATTTTATATCATGCCTACTCCTTGTTTTATTTAGCTTAGGTACCCGGTGATGCATGGGTTATTTGAAAAGTACATTGTTTGTTTTTGGATGTTAGGTAATATCAGTTTGGTCATATGTTACACTATTTTCTAGAGAAAAAACCACTCAGTCTTTGCTTTTGTATTTTATGAATGCTACCATTAGAAAATGCATAAGGATGAGGGTAAACTGCAATTTCCAAAATCATGGACCAATCCTCTACAGATTCCCAGAGCAATCACCCCCAAAACCTGCCAGTATTCACAGTTGGTCATGTTGGGTTTGTGTGCCAAGTTTGGTCCCGATCCAACTTTAGCTTGGTTCAGTGTTCTCAGGATGCGGGTGAACTATAACTCCTGATGCCAATGTCAATCATATCCAAACCCTGCCAGTATGCAAAGATGGTGGGTCTGTTTGCCAAGTTAGTTCCAGGTCCATCATTGGTGGCATTTCAGAGTTCTCTTGGATTGCAGATGAATGATACATGCCAGTCCCTACAACTCCTATAAATCATGGTGAATTCTCCCCAAACCTCTCTCTCTAGTATGTTCAGTTGCTGTGTGACATAAAAAAAGAATAGGAAATGGTTAAGGGAGAGGCAGTGGGTGGGGTAATTCAAACTCCACACCAATGGAGAGAGAAAGGAACACTGGGATGTGGCGCTTGCTGTAACCTGTAATGTCCTTGGAGGGAGGCCTTTGGAGGCTCCTCAGCACTCTGAGTTAAAGTAGTTAAAGTAGTAGAACTCCGGCAGCAGGTGTTCTCTGGGAAGCCAAATTATGAGTCATGAGAGAAATGCTTGACTAGATACTTCACATTTTAAACATTCCCAAGTAGCAACCATGGGGTTTGTTCCGTAAGAGGGCATGGATGATGGAAATTTAGTCCTCTTCCCCTACAACAGTGTTTCTCAACCTTCCTAATGCCACGACCCCTTAATACAGTTCCTCGTGTTGTGGTGACCCCCAACCTTAAAATTATTTTCATTGCTACTTCAAAACTGTAATTTTGCTACTGTATTTACATTTACTGGACCAAATGTGGCACAAATACCTGGTGAGTTTGCGGGGGGTGGGGGGGGGTGGGTGTATTGATGTTGCCATTTGGGAGTTGTAGTTGCTGGGATTTATAGTTCGCCTATAATCACAGAGCATTCTGAACTCCACCAATGATGGAATTGAACTAAACTTGGCACACAGAACTCCCATGACCAACAGAAAATACGAGAAGGTTTTGGTGGGCATTGACCTTGAGTTTTGGAGTTGTAGCTCAACTAAATCCAGAGAGCACTAAGGACTCAAACAATGATGGATCTGGACCAAACTTGGCACAGATCCTCAATATTTCCAAATGTGAACACTGGTGGAGTTTAGGAGAAATAGAGCTTGACATTTGGGAGCTGTAGTTGCTGGGATTTATAGTTCACCTACAATCAAAGAGGATTCTGAACCCCACCAATGATAGATGGGCCAAACTTCCCACACAGAACCCCCATGACCAACAGAAAGTACTGTGTTTTCTGATGGTCTTTGGCGACCCCTCTGACACCCCTTCGTGACCCCTCCAGGGGTCCCGACCCCCAGGTTGAGATTCACTGCCCTACAATGTGATACTGATCCATTTTCTTACTACTTCAGCATAGACACTATAAAAAAGAAGAAACAGATCAATTAAAAAATTGTCAGAAACAATAGACTGGGGTGTCCTCACTTAATAACAGCTTAGCCAAGCACTGTTCTTTGAAAAATATTGGGAGACAACAGGTTTCCCCACACTTTCTGTTAAGTAGGACTATAATTCTTGGGTGATTGGAGTGATAGGCAGTACATGGAGTGATAGACAGTACGCCTGAATACTCACTACACTGACGAAGGCTATGTAGTATTGTTTTGTCTCCATTGTTTTGTCTCATCAGTGAAGTTGATACCTTAAAGACAAATCTGTCCCATTGTATGCCTGGTATCTTTGTTGTCCTGTTTGGCTTTCTTTGTTTATTTGTGGTTTCTTCCTCCTGGATTTGTAGGGTCCTGTTGCCTGGCTTGGCTCATCGGTTTCTCCCCCAGAATCTAAATCCAGGATTGCTGGAACATTTAAAGGCAATCGCAAAAAATGGTGAGTCAGGATTATTTTCCAATCTGTGTTTTGAACATTGGGTCAAGACCTCCCTAGAACTGGTAGCAACTCAGGTTTGGATTGGGGCATCAGGAAAGGAAGAAGAAAAAGCCTGGAGAGGAAAAATAGATAGTAACCTTGTCCGCTTTTATTCTATTCAGAATTCTTCACATCAACATCTTATCTTCCCAACAACCTTGTGAGTTTAGTTTTGTGAGTCAACAGGTGACATTCAAAATAAAGTGGCAATTTAAACTATGGTCAAACTTTTCCAACCTGGTGCTTTCCCTTTATGGAATTGAAACTCCCATCATTTCCATAGAGCATTTTTTGGAAATGTATGATCTTTTAGAAATCATAAGCTTTTGGAAATCCAGAAGCTTATGATGGCATTCACAACCATTTGAAAATCATAAGCTTTTGTAAAAGTATGATCTTCCAAAGAACTCGTTTGAGTAAAATCTTCTCTTGAGTGATCTATGCCCACATGTACTTATGCAAGGCAATTTGGTTTTCTAGTTGTTAGAATAATTACCTTGCTGTCTCTGATCTGTTAAGAACAGAGATTATTCCAATGCATAAAATATAGCAGTTCTTTAGAAGTGTTCTTTTATTTATTTATTTACTGTATTTGTATACCGCCTTTCTCAGCCAGTCGGTGACTCAAGGCGGTTTCCAACAAATCAGTACATATAAAAACATAATACAGATTAAAACATTAAACAATATAAAACACCATGAAAGCAATAAAAACAACATCATTAGCGTCTCATTATTATCAAGCATTGTCCAGTTCCATTGTCAAATCGTTCAATTTCCTATATTAGCTACTCTGCATTTGTAAACGCCTGCTCAGACAGCCATGTTTTAACTTGCCTCTGAAATGTTAAGAGGGAGGGATTAGATCTAATTTCCCTAGGGAAGGTGTTCCATAGCCGAGGGGCCACCACTGAGAAGGCCCTGTCTCTCGTCCCCGCCAAAAGTACTTGAGACGAAGGTGGGACCGAGAGCAGGACCTCCCCAGACGATCTTAAGGAGTCCTCGATGGTTCATAAGGGGAGACACATTTGGACAGTTAAGTTGGCCCAGAACCATTTAGGGCATTATAGGCCAAGCCAGTACTTTGAATTGGGCCCGATAGCAAACCGGCAGCCAGTGGAGCTGGCTCAACAAGGGGGTTGTATGCTCCCTGACTGCCGCTCCTGTTAGCAACCTGACTGCTGTTCGTTGGACTAGTTGAAGCTTCTGGATTGTCTTCAAAGGCAACCCCACATAGAGAGCATTGCAGTAGTTTATATGAGATGTAACCAGAGCATGGACTACCGTGGCCAAGTCAGACCTCCCAAGGTACGAGCGCAGCTGGCGCACAAGTTTTAACTGTGCAAATGCTCCCCTGGTCACCACTGAAACCTGAGGTTCCAGGCTCAGCAATGAATCCAGGATCACACCCAAGTGCCCCAAAACATCTACTCTCCCATAAAATATCTTGATTCTATATCATGCTTTCAAGAGACAAATATAAAATAGACTTTGTTAAAAGTAACATATCTGGTTTACTCACAACCTTCATATATTTAGCATACAGATACATAACTTGTTAATCCAGTTACAGATAGGTTTTGAAGTAGTTTCTCAGTGCAGGTAACACAGGGCATCTTTCTTATGATCTTAAAAGTTCAAAGTCTAAAGCGTCTCATGGAGTCTGTGCTCCAATGGAGTCAGAAGTCTAAAATGGAGTCTAAGCTTTGAGCAGTCCCAGATCTGATAATGTGATCTGTAGCCCCTCCCACAACCTCAAAAAACATAAAGAGAAAGCTGCATACCAAAACATACATATACAATCCAGTAAGCAAACATATCAGGTTTCGGCAGTGACCAGGGGAGCATTCGCAGAGTTAAAACTCGTGCGCCAACTGCGCCCGTACCTTAGGAAGTCTGACTTGGCCACGGTAGTCCACACTCTGGTTACATCCCGTTTAGATTACTGCAACGCTCTCTACGTGGGGTTGCCTTTGAAGACGGCTCAGAAGCTTCAACTAGTCCAACGCTCGGCAGCCATGATACTAACAGGAGCGGAGCGCAGGGAGCATACCACTCCTCTGCTGCACCAGCTCCACTGGCTGCCGATTTGCTACCGGGCTCAATTCAAAGTGCTGGCGTTGGCCTTTACAGCCCTAAACGGTTCTGGCCCAAGCTATCTATCCGAACGTATCTCTGCCTATCAGCCCGCCAGGACCCTAAGATCTTCTGGGGAGGCCCTGCTCTCTATCCCGCCTGCTTCACAGGTGCGGCTGGCGGGGACGAGAGACAGGGCCTTTTCTGTGGTGGCCCCTCGGCTGTGGAACGCCCTTCCCATGGAGGTAAGATCAGCCCCCTCGCTAATGGTGTTCCGAAGGAGATTAAAAACTTGGATGTTTGAACAGGCATTTGGTTAATCAGTGCAATGAATGTGACGATTACAGGAATGGAAATATGGACGACGAATTTGGATCACGACTCTAGTTATGAGATGCATTGTGTTGTTATTGTTGTGTCAATATTGTATATTGTGCTCTAATGTTTTAAATTGTATATCGTTGATTGATCTTATCCTTGTTGTAAACCGCGTTGAGTCGCCTGTTACTGTTACAAGTAAAGTAAGTAAATAAATATTCATATACAAGTTACTAGTGGAGGCTTGAAGAAGGTTGGATGTGGCCTGATATAATTTATGGTAGATCTTTCTAAATCTATTGCACTCACATTCTCCATCTTTTGCTATAAGGATCAGCATGAAGGATCTGCCACAAATTCTTAAATACATTTGCAATACATTGCAGAAGGGATCCATTGTAGGTGCCATAAGTATTGTTGAAGTTACACTTTATTCAGTAACTTCTGATTTTGTGCTTATGACCTTCTTTGTGATTCCTTTGTCTCATGTGAATAAGTATGTTAGTCGTACTTCATTTGTTACACCAGTACAGATAGAGAGTTTGGCAGTGGGCATTGTGACTAGATAAAGCTTCTCATTTTAACCATCTGTTCTTCATTTTCTCTTTCTGTTTCACATCACCAGGAATTTTCCGGAACCTGCTGTCCTTGAATCAAAACATCATTGAGCAGAACCTCCATGAATCTCTTCCCAAACATTGGTTCAGCAGCTCATCGTCTCCTGTGTCTTGGTGCCCAAAGGAGTACTCACAACCCCCTCTTGAGTGGCTTACTGCTTTCTGGAGCTTCCTGAGTCGCCATACACCCTCCCTGGCACCCTTCAGGGAATGCCCATTGATACCATTGACTCCTCTGCATGCTTCCGACAATGTCGTCAAGCTGGCACGGCTTTTGCCTCAGTCCACCCTTCTGTTCCAGAGCCACAATGGGCATAGCTTGCCAAATGAAGTGTCTGGGATTTTGGAGGTGCTGGGATGTACCGTGATCAAGACCTGGAAACCGGACTGGTGCCACCACCAGCTGAGAGAATATATCCTAGAACCCACACCAAGTAGTGTCCTGAAGGTTTTTGCCCATCTGGGGGTGGCATCTGTGACTAGCCGCTTGGCATTCCTTCCTGAATGGCAGATTCAGAGCCTGAGTGCTTTTCTTTCAACAGCTGCATCCCTCTCCCAAAAAGAAATTGAAGTTCTAAAGGAACTGCCCCTATTCTTCAAGATGCCTTCCCTCCTTCCACCTTCCTCACCTGGCTTGGTGCCAGCCCGAGGCTACTTGGCATTAGAAAAACACTTGGTTCCATCAGTGCCCACAGATCTGTTGACACCAGCGCCTGTGCTATTATGTCGTAGTGAAGCTGAACGCCGGCTGATCATCCAAATCCAGGGAAGCCTCCTTGATACTCCAGATCTGTGCCTGTTATGTGTCAAAGCTATGGGGAAGGGGGCATATGCCAGTTGGGCACAGGATGCCAAGAGATTCATGCTATGGGTGCTGCACAATGGGGACTCTCTCTTCAGCCAGAGTCGAGAGCTACAGGCTTTGTGCCGTGACCTTCCCTTTGTGGATTGCGAGTCGGGGGGATTGAGTCGACCCACTGATCTCTATGATCCCCAGAACCACACTTTGCGGGCCTTATTAAGATCTTCCAAGTTCCCTGCAGGGCCTTTTCTGGAGCCAGCAGTATTACGAATACTTCGCAACCTGGGACTGAAATCTGACCTGAGCTCCATATCTCCGGCTGATGCATTATTGGCTGCAAAGGAAGTGAGTCAGCTCCAGGAGGAAGTTGTTGCTGATGCCAAATCGCAGGCACTCATCCAAGTGTGCAATGAGACCCCTCTACTGTCAAAATTGTCTTGCCAGGAACTGAAAGAGCTGCGTTCTCTGCTTTGGGTTCCTGCCACTAATTCCTCCAAACTTGTGGCAGCTGGACACTTTTGGGCACCTGAATCACTCTGCTCAGAGCAATATGCACCTCTTGTGGGGCTGGTCATGGGGCTGACAAATGCTTTTTGCCCACAAGCTGCATCAAAATTGGGTCTGGATCACCCACCTGCATCAGAGAAGGTGATGGAGAATCTTGTTTGCCTTACACAAGCCTACTGTCCCACCAATACCCGAGAATTAACGACAACGTTGCATAGCATCTATCGACACATGCAGCAGCACCTGAGTGATTTCAAGACACCACCTACAGTCCCTTCAGTGTGGAATGGCAGGGGCTTTTCATTGCCTGAGGAAGCAGTGCTGTCCTACCCAAATGGCTTGGACCTCAAGGACTTGATACCACAAGTGCCCTCAGAATTCCAGCAGAACAGCCGGCTCTTTGTGGCATGGGGTGTCCGTCAGTCTCCCACACCTGAAGATGTATGCCAAGCTCTTCACAACTTGGCAGATCAGATAAATGCCCAGCCACAAGGTGGCACACAAGCAGAACTGCTCCTTGTGACCGCTGCATTAGATTGGCTCTGTGCTCAGGATCACCGCGGAGAGGGAGAAATGCCTGTCCCTGTGCGGATTCCAGGATTGGCTGGTTTTGCTCTTCGCCCTATAAGCTCAGTGCTGTACTGTGATATGGATAGGGCCAGGCTTGTCGAACTTGATGGAGACCCACCTCTTTTGGTACATGAGCTGGTTTCCTCTGCCACAGCTGCTTTTCTGGGCATAGAGATGCTGAGTAAACGGTTGTCAGGCTTAGAGCTTTTTGAAGCCTGGGGCCCTTCAGAGCCAGTCACCCTCCGGATCCGTAACATCCTTCGCGAGTACAGCCAAGATGCTGATGTTTTCCAGGAGCTCCTGCAGAACGCGGAGGATGCTAGTGCCCAGACCTGCCGCTTCTTAGTGGATCTCCGTCAGCATAATGGCACCACAGAAGGACTCCTGGACCCTGGTATGGCTGCCTGCCAGGGCCCAGCACTTTGGGCCCAGAATGATGCGCTGTTCAGCAAGGCAGATTTTACCAACATCGTCCAGCTAGGTGCTGCCACTAAGGAACGCCAGGATGATAAGATCGGCTGCTTTGGGCTGGGATTCTGCACAGTCTACCACATCACAGACATTCCCTCTCTACTCAGCGGCCATACCATGCTCATCTTTGACCCTAATGTCACCCACCTCCAGAAGCATATCCACAGCCCTGCTAATCCAGGCATCCGGTTGACTTTGACCCCACATGTCGCTACAATGTTCCCTGAACAATTTCGACCCTTTGGAGGCATTTTTGGCTGCCGACCTGGGGAGGATTACTCGGGCACGCTCCTCCGCCTGCCCTTCCGCACTGAGCAGGAGGCAAAAGATTCTCAGATCTGCCCTGAGCCTTTTGGACCCAGCCGAATCAGAGCACTGCAAGCTGGCTTCCGGGAAATGTACCAGCACCTATTGATCTTCCTGCGGAAGGTGCAGGAGGTGTCGCTAACCCACCTCCCCAGTGGTTCCAGTTCTCCAGAAAATGCCCAGCCTTTAGCCACAGTGAAGAGGGAAAAGCTTGATGGGATGGGAAACCTCAATATTGTGCGATTGACAGCAACCTGGGAATCAGAAGGTGTTACCAGCTATTACCTGCTGCACTCGTGCTCAGCTAAAGCCGGAGCCCAGGAGCTTTTTGAACAGGGAAGAAAAGAGGGGCTCCATTTTTCACCTCCAATTGCTGCTGTGGCCTTGCCTCTCTGCCCTGCCACTGCTGGTGGACGATGGGTCCCAGGTGTACATGGGTTTCAGGGCCGAGCCTTCTGCTTTCTCCCTCTTCCTATTGAAAGTGGGCTCCCGCTGCACCTCACAGCAGCCTTTGCTGTACTTAGCAATCGCAAAGGACTTTGGGATGCCACAGAGAAGGGCAAGTGGAACAGGGCACTCTTGAGGGATTCTGTGCTGGGGGCCTGGCTTGGAGCATTGTCTCAACTTCGGGACTTGTACAAAGAAGGATTATTGGAGGATTACAAGTACTACACTTTCTGGCCTGATGTCCGCAGTGCCAAGCATCCTTTCAGTGAAGCAGCCAAGGCCTTCTACCAAGCATTAATTAATGGTATTGATGGGGAGCAGCCAGTTCTGTTTTCTGATGGAAAGAAGTGGTGCCCAGCCCGGCATGCCTGTATTCTGGCTGCCGACGTTATTTGTGAGAAGCAATTGAGTCCTATAGCTGCCAGGATCTTCCCTTTACTCTTGCCAGAACCTCAGATTGCAGTGTCTCTTCCAAGTTGGGTGGAGACAAATTTTGAAGCATGTACCCAAGCAGATGTCCTCTTGCCAAACACTTACACCTGGGCACGATTCCTCCGGGAGCTTGTTTTGCCCAATCTTGCTCAGCTAGAGGCACCTGATCGTGATGCCCTGATTCTTCGTGCTCTGGATATGAATGATGCCACTGTGGATAAGATTCTGACCTCCCTGTCTTGCATTCCCACCACTCCCAAGGCACTGCTGAAAAATATTAAGGGACTTGTTCACCCAGGGGGCCCCGTGGCACCTCTTTACACCCCTGAAGATGGCCGTTTCCCCATGGGTGAACAGTTTGTGCAGCCACAGAGACTGTTGCGCTTGGAACATCTTGGTATGATCAAAGATAGGGTGGCTATCGAAGAACTAATAGACAGAGCCAAAACTGTGGCTGCTTTGTGGCATCATGACCAAGAAGAGGCCTGCAAGCGAATCCGTTGTATCCTGAACCTCCTTAATAAACATGTCCAGGAAAGCTTCAACAATACAACCCAGGCTGTTTTTAGAGAAATCCCTTTTTTGCCAGCAGTATGTCCTGGTAATGTCAAGAAACTCTGCTGTCCCAGAGAAATTTACCACCACAAGCTACAAGCAGTGGTGGGCTTGACTAAGCCAGTCCTAGACAAGGAGGCTCTTGGTAAAGGTTTTAAGATCTCAAATGAACTGAAGGAATTCCTAGGATTGAATCGCCAGCCTCCAGTGGCTACAGTGCTAAAACAATTGGAAGCTGTTTCACATTGCTCTAATGCCATGAACAGGACCATGCTAAGCACGACAGCAATGAAATGCTATGCATTTCTGGATAAAATGGTCCAGGAAAACCCTTCATGCAGGATGGAGGTATCCCAGAAGGCACTAACCTTCCCCTTTGTTCTGGTGGGCACCCATTTTGTGTCTGTGTACAAGGTGGCCTGCAACCTACCTTTTGATGGTGCTCCATACCTCTTCCATCTGCCTGAGGAGTATAAACAGCATAAGCAGCTGTGGAAGTGTGTGGGACTGCAAGATGCTTTTCGAGTAGAAGACTATGCCACTGTTTTGCAAGACTTGGCCAAGAGTGCAGATGGACAGCCCCTTCCCAAAGGGCATCTGGATCTTGTGATTCGGCTGATCACCATAGGGTTAATGGAAGCCTTGCCAGAGGGTCAAGAGCTGGACTCTTATCGGGCCCAGGGCGTCTTTTTCCCAGACCAAGGCAAAGTCCTACATCCACTAACCAAGCTGCTCTTTGATGACACGCCATGGCTGCCATGTGAGAATGGGATGCTTCTCTGCCATACCATGATTCCACGAGAAATTGCTACACGGTGTGGCATCCCCACCACAAAGCGTAGCATTTTATCACGCCGGCGGATCGAGGGTCTCTCTCCCTGGGCCACAGATTTTGGAGCCAAGGAAGATCTCTGCACCCGGTTGTCCAACATCCTCCAGGACTACTCCTCCTCCCAGGATGTGCTGAAGGAGTTGCTGCAGAATGCAGATGATGCTGGTGCAAGTGTTGTCCACTTCGTTTGGGACCAGCGTCAGCACCCGACAGAGCGCTCTTTTAGTGATGAATGGCATGTTCTTCAAGGCCCAGCACTTTGCATCTATAACAACCGCACCTTTGAGATGAGCGACTTGGAAGGGATCCAGCGCTTAGGCTCTGGAGGGAAAGGCAGAAGGCGGGATGCTACGGGCAAATATGGGCTGGGCTTCAATACAGTTTTCCACTTGACAGATTGCCCTGCTTTTATAACAGGTGACAGTGCTCTCTGTGTTTTCGACCCTACATTGCGCTACCTCCCTGATTCAGATGACATCTCTCCTGGTGGAAAGTACAGCCTCACTAAAGATTTCAAAGATGCCTTTTTGGATATTTATAATGCCTTTTTGCCTGATGTGTTTGACCTGCAACGTGGCACGGTTTTCCGATTACCCCTGCGTACTCTTGCAAATGCAGTCACTTCCCCTATTTGGAAGACCCCTGTGTCTGAAGAAGACATGGAAAACATGATGGAGGCTCTTAAAAAAGAAGCAGACTGCCTTGTGATGTTCCTGAATCATGTTCGCTCTATTGTTTTCTCTGTGATAAGCAAAAAAGGAGGAACACCAAAGGAAGTGCTGCGGGTAAAGACAGAAGGTGGTGAGCCTGAAAGGTTGGAGTACCAAGAACATCTCAAGCAGGCAGCTGCAGCAGGGAGCATGGATGAGGGCAGACCCCAAAGAGTCTTCTACAAAATGAAGGTGGAAAGTAGTTTCTCCAATGCTCCCAGCAACTGGCTGGTTGGTAGACAGATTGGTGTAGAGACCACAGACATTGTAGAGAGCAAATTGCTGCCACATGGTGGTGTGGCTGCCTGTCTTAATGGACAACCACCTGGCAGGGCCTTCTGCACACTTCCTCTACCAGTGACTACAGGCCTCCCAATCCACATCAATGGGAACTTTGCAGTGGACTCATCTCGGCGTGACTTGAGGAAAGATGACGGCCAAGGCAATGCCAGCACAGCATGGAATCGCTTGTTGCTGCGGTCCCTAGTGGCTCCTTTGTATTGCCAGCTGCTTGAGGAGCTGCGCCAGGCACTGGGGAGCACACCTTTAAAGTTTCACTCTCTAACTTCATGTAGAGAAGGGCTGGATTCCAAATATTTGTGGTATTTTCCACGTGTGACAGAGGATGTCTCCCCACCTTGGCAGGAGTTGGTGACTCGTGTTTATGAACTGGCATATGAGGAGCATCTTCCATTGGTACCGGTGTACCAGAAACAGATTAATTATGTGCATAACGTTAAAACAGAAGTAGTAAGTGTGGACTGGAGGACACCCAAACTGGGCCATCCAATTAGAGACCCCTATTTCTTAACTGATGATTGGCTTGAGAAGACTGATGATTGGCTTGAGAAGACTCTCCAGAATCTAGGCATGCAGTTAGTTCCTGCTTTTGTGCATCTGCAGGGGATCCATTATGAATTTTGCAAGGCCAAAGTGGATGTCCTAACCCTTGATCCCCCTTCTGTCTGCCACTTCCTTAAGAATCTACCTAATCTCTCTCTGCCATGCCCCATTAAAGAAACGCCCATGAAGACAACTTTCAATTGCTGTGCTCTCCTGGATTTCTGCCTTAGCGAGCTTTCTCTTGAGGATATCAGCTGCGTGGAAGGTCTCCCTTTACTGGTGACAAAGGACAATATGCTGAGGTGCTTTAGTCAAGAGGAGCCTGTGTACCAGAGTAGATTTTCCGATCTTTTCCCATATCACCAAGATCGTTTCTTTGCTCACTTCATTACAGAGGCACAGCAGTTAATAAAGATGGAATTCATGAAGAATTTTACTCTCTCTGAATCAGTGGATTACATTCAGGAGATGCTGGCACTGGATGACTGGGCCGATGATACTCAGCGCAACAATTGGCTATGTGAGATGTGGAATTTCTTTGAGACAGAGATCTATAAGTCTGAGGATGAGATGAACCAGGCATTTGCAAAGCTAATTTACCTCTTTAAAGGCTGTGCTGTGCTCCCAGTGTGTGGCTGTAGTAGGCGCCTCGTTCCTCTTGATGGCCTTGACACCATTGTGAGGGATGATTCAAGTGAAGTTTCTGAAATCCTTTACAAGCTGGGTTTTACCACGCTAGACTCCTCCTTGCTGCCTCCAAAACTCACCATAACCTGCATCTGGCCACGTCTGTTGAAGACGAAGAGTCCTGCTGTTGTGCTGACACAACTGTCTGCCCATAGTAGCCTCTGTTGGGATAAGCTCAAATCATGGGACTTTTATACACTCTGGAAGTTTCTGATCGACAATCTGAAGGAGATAGAAGGAGACCATAAGTTGCTTGGCAAGTTGAAAGCTTTGCCTGTGTTTCAAACTCATCAAGGAAAGTATGTTTCACTGGCTTTATACGACAATGTGTATCGCCTGGAGTCAAAGATTTCAAAGGAGTCTAAAACCTTCAAGGAGCTTTATGAAGTGGATAGGAAGATTCTTTTCCTCTGTGACAATCTGTTCAACCGCTCTCTCTGTAAGCTCTTGGGTATTGGTGTCATGAATGACTTGCAGCAATTTGTTCAACAACTTCTGCCTCAGTTGCCCTGTCTTCCTGAAGCCCGTGTACTACAGGCAGTGAAGTTACTTCTCATAATCAAGAAGCATTATTATCCAGAGTATGAGGCTAAGAAAGCAGTCATCGTGTCAAAGTTTCAGTCTATTGCCTTCATCCGGGACATGGAGAATGAGCTGCGTCCTGCATCCTACTTCTATGATGAAGATGAGGTACTTTTCAAGGAGCTGGGGTTGAGCTCTCGGTTTGTACCAGGGAAATTCTATGACTCTGTGGGGCTACACAAATATGAGGTGAAACCATTCTTACATGATGTGGGCTTGCAGAAGGTGATCACTGAAGAGGACTTTCTTGAGTGTGCTGCCAAAGTTGAAAGAGAAGCACAGAGGTATGGTGCCAAATCCAATAACCTTCCCCAAATAAGAGAAGCACTTTGGGAACACCTGCTTTCCAGGTCAAATGAAACTCTGTCAGATGCCTTCCTGGATAAAGTATCAAAGATCCGTTTCCTAGCATCACGGTCCATCCCTAAGAAACTATGTTGCCTTCACCCACCATATGTTTCTTGCAATGCCCCTGTAGCACCCCAAGGTTCTCTCTACCCTTCATGCAGGGTAGAATTGTTTTGGACTTCAGCGGTTGCTTTGCCTTATGCTGATTATATTAGAAAAGATACTCTGAAACGACTTGGGGTGTTGTGTACCCTGCCTGCCCAATTGGTCTTAGAAAATCTGAGCAATGTATGCCAGGCATCCTGTATCACTCCTAAAACCAGAGCAACTCGTGCAGAGGTCCTAAAGGAGATGTATCGATTCTTGTCTGAAGAGAAAGAAATAGATGCTGACTGCCTAAAGGGACTCCCTGTAGTACTGGTGGATAATGAAGAAATAGCTGAGGCCCAAAATGTGGTGGTCTCATTAAAATATCCCGATGACTTCAGGCCTTACCTCTACAAACTACCTACAAAGCTAGGGAGCTATGTCGATCTACTTGAGAAATTTGGTGTTCAGACTGACCCAAGCATCTATCATTATGCTAATGTTTTGGCCCAAATTCATGAGGAGACGGCAGAACGAAAACAGCTTCAGCCCAATCTTACTAAAACCATACTGAGAGCCACTGAGCTCCTCTTCCAGCTCTTAGATGAAACAAAGAAGCCAGTGAATTTCACAGAGCTAAAAGAACTGTATCTGCCTTGTATTGATGGGAAGCTGTACCCATCAAATAGCCTCATCTTTAGTTGGTGCATGTCTAACCAAGAATCTGAAGCACTGCAGAAGAACTTTCATATTCTGGAGGATCTTTCCCTTTATGACAAATGTAAGCAATGGAGACTCCTGCGCTTGCTGCCTGAGGCATTGCGCCCCAAGAACTTATCTGACATCACTCAAGAGCAGCTGGAAGAGTCCTCTTTGAAACTGTGCCACTATGGGGAACACTGTGAGTCCCGCAATTCCCTGAAAGAACTTCTCATTTCTCATGAGTTCCAGTGGGCCTTTGTTGCACTGCTGAAATGGCAAGACCCAGAGACCCCAGTAGAAACAGAGGAGATACAGTGTGTATGGGATAAATGCTTCTCACCAGAGCAACTAGAAGTAGTTTGTTATGAAAAGGTGTGCACCATCAGGGTGCACAACTCCCAGCCTCTGGAGGGAACCCAGCGTGCCAAAGTGGCACATGCTGTGATGCTACCAAATGATAGGTGTCAAGTTTATATTGAGCACCAGGAGAGACTGGAGCGACCTAAGATTGTACATTTTGCTGACATCCTAGCCAAAGAAGTGAATAGGCTGCTGGGAGAAAGACTCCAAAGTAATGCTGTGATGACAGTCCTCATGAAGATTTTGGTTTGCCAAGAGCCACAGGAGATTGCGGAAGTGCTGAAGGACAACCAAGTGCCTCTGCATCATCCTCCCCACCAATCCGCTTGGAACCTGCCACCTGCCGGAGAGGAAATCCCTGAGGAATGGTATGACAGCTTGGAAATGAACATCATCCATACCTTTGTACCAGGAGATTACGTGGGTTATCTGGACTCTTCCCAGCTGAAAGAACGTTATCTTTATGTCGTGGTCCTTGAAGCCCTTGGGCTGCAGCAGAGTGGTGGTGGCCACATCCCCATGTACCGTGTTGACCTGGGAGGAGGGAGGAAAGCTACTGTCAGTACCTATGACATTTATCATTTCCGAAGGAATAAGCAAGTCAATGATCTGAATAAATCTTTGGTCCTTGCAGAAAATTGCCCCAGTGCTGGCAGCACTGCAAGCCCAGATGCAGATCGTTTTTGGTACCAACGTCCACTGAGTGAGGTGAAGAAAGAAGTGGATGCCCATCTAGCTGAAATTTGGTGTCTGTCGGTGGAAGAGAAGAAGAAGGCTGTCAGAAGGCTCTATCTTTGCTATCACCCAGACAAAAATGTAGGTCAGGAGGAGTTAGCCAATGAAATCTTCAAATACCTCAAGGAAAGGATCCAGGAAATGGAGAACAAGTATAAGCCCAGTGGTAGTAATTCCAATAAGAAAAACTTCTGGAACTTCTCTCAGTGTTGGTCTGAATGGAATGAGCAAGCTCATAGGCATCATCATAGCCGTCAGGAGTTCACCAAGCAGAGATGGGGCAAAGGAGGAGGAAGAAGAGGAGGAGGAGGAGGAGGAGGAGGAGGAGGAGGACATTACAACTATAACTTCTGGTCATTCCATCAGAGTCAATCAAGATATCAATCAAGACGCCTCTGTGGGGAAGAAGCCAAGCGCTGGCTTCGGCAAGCAGAGTGTGATCTGAAGGCAGCGGCTGGAGTTGCTGGGAATGGCAGTACTGAATGGCTGCTATACATGACATACCGGGCAATGGAGAAAGCCCTGACAGCAGTTGTGTACAGCGAGGGAGGACACTTTGACAAGAGCCAGTCTCTTGCCATGCTGGCTAATAAGGTGGCATCCTGCGGTGATGAGTTGGAAGAGCTCCCTGACCAGATCGATGAGCTCCGGGATCATGGTGTGGATGACAAGACAACCCAGTATCCCAGCTATCATGATTTGCCCACCATTCCCAATGAGGCCTTCCAGGCGTGCAAAGAGAAGGATGTGTTGCTCTTGGCTCACAAAATCCTCAACACCGTGAAGAAGTGGCTTGGCCAGTAATGAGACATGAGGATCCTTGCTTTAAAAGACTCAGGCTGAGAGTGGCAGGTTAATGTAGCAGTATTTGTCACAAAAACCCAAGGACAAAACTTTTCTAACCTGGAATTATATTTAACTCCTTGTTCTTTCTGGACTATTGAGGATTTGACATTCCCCCTCAAAGCTTTTCTTTTTGAATAGTTAAATAGGGTCTTGTTGGAGCATGCTTTTCCTAAGATGGGAAAGCATATGCAGCCACTGAACCTCTCGAAAACTCTTGATTTGTGCTAATTTTAGCACTTTGAGGAAATACATATTAGAACAAGATGCTGGCTATGGAGGGCGCAGTCAGTCAGTAAAAGTGGGACTAGATCATTCCCGAGAACAGGCATGGAGTCTGTACTCCATGTAAACAATGAGGCTAGTTACACTTTTCTGAAGTTGAAGCCACAGGCTACAAAGGGAAATGAGCACTATACTAAACTGAGACAGTGACTCCCTGAAGATAATTACACTTCTGTCTTATTTTGTATTCATTTTGTCCATAATTTTTTCAGGTTGTTGGTCCTCAACCCCACATTTTGCAGCTGATATATTTAACCAGATCATCATAACATTGCCTCTTAGTCTTTGATCCAAATATGGATTCTGTTCCCTGTGTCTGAACTGTACTTGTTCACTCTACTTACCCTGCATAAGAGTTTGATCTTCCTTTTGTATGTGTAATAAATACCAAAAGACCTATCTTTCCACAAGGCTTTTCAAAATGTTGTTCGAGTATGTGCAGAGATTACAGCTTTGGTTTCCTTTCGGACTTTCATCTTTAAAGTTAATTGATATGAATTTAAAAAATTAACTGGAAACACCAGCAGCAAGCGCTATTTCAAAGTGTACATATCTAGAACCAGATGATCCGTGATGTAATTGCTCCAAGCCCCCAATGTCTTTGGGGTGGGGTGGGTGGGGGTATGTTGCTTGCTTCCTTTTCCTCCCCAGTCATTTATTGAATCTAAATGAGCAAATAGTAGATCATAAGCAGAATATGATCCAGCAGTGCGATGCTTCAGCAAAGAAGGCACATAATGTTTGGCTTGCATTAACAGACATCGTTTCCAAGAAAAGAGAGTAATCGCCACACTATGTTTTGTGTCAATCAGGCTGCATTTGGAGTACTGCATTTAGGTGTCTCATTTTAAGAAGTATATAGAGTGGGTGCAAAGAAGAGCAGCAAGGCTGATAAGAATCACAAAACTGGAAGAGACCCCATTCTGCAATGCAGGAACACACAAAGCACTCTAGACAGATGGCCATCCAGGCTCTGCTTAAAAACTAAATAGACTGCCATAATCCGAGATAGCATTTTCCACTATCAAACTGCTCTTGTCGGAAAACTACCTTAATGTTGAGCAAAACATATGAGGAAAGGTTGAGAAATCTGGGCATGTTCAGCACGGTAAAGAAGACCAGAGATGTAACCTGAATGCACTCTCTAAGCATTTAAAGGGCTGTAATTTATTTTGTCTTAAGACAGTGGTTCTCAACCTTAATGCCGTGACCACTAAATACGATTCCTCATGTGGTGGTGACCCCCAACTATAAAATTATTTTCTTTGCTACTTCGTAACTAGTTTTGCTACTGTTATTAATCGTAATGTAAATATCTGATATGCAGGATGTATTTTCTTTCACTGGACCAAATTTGGCGCAAATACCCGATCCGCTGGAATTTGAATACTGGTGAGGTTGGGGATGGATTGATTTTGTCATTTGGGAGTTGTAGTTGCTGGGATTTATAGTTCACCTACAATCAAAGAGCATTCTGAACTCCACTAACGATGGAATTGAACCAAACTTAGGACGCAGAACTCCCATGACCAACAGAAAATACTGGAAGGTTTGGTGGGCACTGACCTTGAGTTTTGGAATTGCAGTTCACTTACATCCAGAGAGTACTGTGGACTCAAACAATGATCGATCTGGGCCAAACTTAGCACACATACCCAATATACCCAAATGTGAGCAGTGGTGGAGTTTGGAAAAAATAGACCTTGACTTTTGGGAGTTGTAGTTGCTGTGATTTATAGTTCACCTACAGTCAAAGAGCAAACTTCCCACACAGAACCCCCCATGACCAACAGAAAATACTGTGTTTTCTGATGGTCATTGGTGACCCCTCTGACACCCCCTTGCAACCCCCCCCAGGGGTTCTAACCCCTAAGATGAGAAACACTGCCTTAAGAGCAGTTATAGGAGTGCATTCTGTTTCCTTTTCTCCTTTCTTTTTTTTCTTCCCTTTCTCCCTTTTGTTTCTTCTAAATTTTTTGCTTTCCTTTTTCATTTTTCATTCACCTTCCCTTTCTTCTTTCTTTTCCTGTTTTGATTCAGCACAGCTGGTAAATCACCAGCAGCAGCAATAAGATCTACCATCTGAAAAGTTGCCAGTTCGAAGCCCGGGTTGGGGTGAGCACCCAACCGTCAGCCCAGCTCATTGTTTCCCTAAGCAGTTAGAAAACAGCTTAGAGCTGTAAGTAGAGAAATTGGGTACCACTAAAATGCAGGGGAGGTATTTTAGGACATTATAAAAAAAAAGAAAAAGACCAAAAGGAAGGAGGAAGTCCTGATGGTTCTTCATCAAAGAGGATAGAGTGACAGCACCCCCCTGTGGCTGGATTCGAGTACAACTTCCAAAGGCGCCGAAAGCTGGACGTGGACACAACATACCTCCTTTCTGTCTGTTCAAATGGCATTGAATGTTTGCTGCGTATGTGTACTGTGATCCGCCCTGGGGAGATAGGGCAGAATATAATTATTTATTATTATTTCCATTCTCCTTTCTCCCTTTCCTACTCCCGTCTCCTTTTTCCTTTCTCCTTCCTTTCTCTTTTCCCTTCTCCTTTCCTTTTCTTTTTTCTTCCCTTTCTCCCTCCCTTTTGTTTCTCCTTAATTTTCTTTCCTTTTCCCTTCACTTTCTCTTCTTTCTTTTCCCCTTTTGATTCATTTCCATTCTCTTTTCCTATTCCCGTATCCTTTTCTTTTTCCCTTTCCCTTTTTCCTTTCCTTTCTTTAGTACTTCCCTTTCTTCCCTTTTCCCCTTGCCTTCTTGTTTCTCTTTAATTTTCTTTCCTTTTCCCTTCTCCTTTCCTTTCTTTTTTCTTCCCTTTCTCACTCCCTTTTCTTTCTCCTTAATTTTCTTTCCTTTTCCCTTCTGTTTTCCTTTATTTTTTTCTTCCCTTTCTCCCTTCCTTTTGTTTCTCCTTGATTTTCTTTCCTTTTCCCTTCACCTTCTCTTCATTCTTTTCCCCTTTGATTCATTTCCATTCTCTTTTCCTATTCCCGTGTCCTCTTCTTTTTTTCTTTCCCCTTTCCCTTTCCTTCCTTTAGTTCTTCCCTTTCTTCCCTTTTCCCCTCGCCTTCTTGCTTCTCTTTAATTTTCTTTCCTTTTCCCTTCTCCTTTCCTTTCTTTTTTTTCTTCCCTTTCTCCCTCCCTTTTGTTTCTCCTTGATTTTCTTTCCTTTCCCCTTCACCTTCTCTTCATTCTTTTTCCCCTTTGATTCATTTCCATTCTCTTTTCCTATTCCCGTGTCCTCTTCTTTTTTTCTTTCCCTTTTTCCTTTCCTTCCTTTAGTTCTTCCCTTTCTTCCCTTTTCCCCTTGCCTTCTTGCTTCTCTTTAATTTTCTTTCCTTTTCCCTTATCCTTTCCTTTATTTTTTCCTTCCCTTTCTCCTTCTCTTTTGTTTCTCCTTAATTTTCTTTCCTTTTCCCTTCCCCTTCCCTTCTTTCTTTTCCCCTTTTGATTCCTTTCCATTCTCCTTTCCTATTCCTGTATCCTTTAATTTGTTATTTCCCTTTCTTTCTTTAGTTCTTCCCTTTCCCCCTTGCCTTCTTGTTTCTCTTTAGTTTTCTTTCCTTTTCCCTTCTTTTATTTTTTCTTCCCTTTCTCCCTCCCTTTTGTTTCTCCTTAATTTTCTTTCCTTTTCCCTTCTCCTTTCCTTTCCTTTTTTCTTCCCTTTCTCCCTCCCTTTTGTTTCTCCTTAATTTTCTTTCCTTTTCCCTTCTCCTTTCCTTTCCTTTTTTCTTCCCTTTCTCCCTCCCTTTTGTTTCTCCTTAATTTTCTTTCCTTTTCCCTTTTCTTTTCCTTTCCTTTTTTCTTCCCTTTCTCCCTCCCTTTTGTTTCTCCTTAATTTTATTTCCTTTTCCCTTCACCTTCCCTTCTTTCTTTTTCCCTTTTGATCCATTTCCATTCTCTTTTCCTATTCCCATATCTTCTTTTTTTCTTTCCCTTTGTTTCTCCTTGATTTTCTTTCCTTTTCCCTTCTCTTTTCCTTTCTTTTTTTCTTCCCTTTCTCCCTCCCTTTTGTTTCTCCTTGATTTTCTTTCCTTTTCCCTTCTCTTTTCCTTTCTTTTTTTCTTCCCTTTCTCCCTCCCTTTTGTTTCTCCTTAATTTTCTTTCCTTTTCCCTTCACTTTCTCTTCTTTCTTTTCCCCTTTTGATTCATTTCCATTCTCTTTTCCTATTCCCGTATCCTTTTCTTTTTTTTCTTTCCCTTTCCCCTTCTTTTCTTTAGTTCTTCCCTTTCTTCCCTTTCCCCCTTGCCTTCTTGTTTCTCCTTAATTTTCTTTCCCTCTCCCTTCTCCTTTCCTTTCTTTTTTTCTTCCCTTTCTCCCTCCCTTTTCTTTCTCCTTAATTTTCTTTCGTTTCCCCTTCTGTTTCCCTTTATTTTTTTTCTTCTCTTTCTCCCTCCCTTTTGTTTCCCCTTGATTTTCTTTCCTTTTCCCTTCACCTTCTCTTCATTCTTTTCCCCCTTTGATTCATTTCCATTCTCTTTTCCTATTCCCGTGTCCTCTTCTTTTTTCTTTCCCTTTCCCTTTTTCCTTTCCTTCCTTTAGTTCTTCCCTTTCTTCCCTTCCCCCCCGCCTTCTTGCTTCTCTTTAATTTTCTTTCCTTTTCCCTTCTCCTTTCCTTTATTTTTCTTCCCTTTCTCCCTCCCTTTTGTTTCTAATTAATTTTCTTTCCTTTCCCCTTCACCTTCCCTTCTTTCTTTTCCCCTTTTGATTCATTTCCATTCTCCTTTCCTATTCCTGTATCCTTTTCTTTTTTATTTCCCTTTCTTTCTTTAGTTCTTCCCTTTCTTCCCTTTCCCCCTTGCCTTCTTGCTTCTCTTTAATTTTCTTTCCATTTCCCTCCTTTTATTTTTTCTTCCCTTTCTCCCTCCCTTTTGTTTCTCCTTAATTTTCTTTCCTTTTCCCTTCTTCTTTCCTTTCTTTTTTCTTCCCTTTCTCCTTCTCTTTTGTTTCTCCTTAATTTTCTTTCCTTTTCCTTCTTCTTTCCTTTCTTTTTTCTTCCCTTTCTCCTTCTCTTTTGTTTCTCCTTAATTTTCTTTCCTTTTCCCTTCTTCTTTCCTTTCTTTTTTCTTCCCTTTCTCCTTCTCTTTTGTTTCTCCTTAATTTTCTTTCCTTTTCCTTTTCCCTTCCCCTTCCCTTCTTTCTTTTCCCCTTTTGATTCATTTCCATTCTCCTTTCCTATTCCCGTATCCTTTTCTTTTTTTATTTCCCTTTCCTTCCTTTAGTTCTTCCTTTTCTTCCCTTTCCCCCTCGCCTTCTTGCTTCTCTTTAATTTCCTTTCCTTTTCCCTTTCCCTTGCTTTTCTTTTTCCGTTCCCTTTCCCTTCTTCCCTTTTTGCCCACAACAAAAATGGCGCCCCGGAGAGGCTCCCGCCCTTCCCTTGCGCGCCCACAGTAAAGATGGCGGGACCAGGCTTCTCCTTTCCTGCTTTCTTGCCCAGAGTAAAGATGGCGGGAGAGGAGGCTACTGGCGCCCCTCCCTCCTCCTTGCCCGCAGAAAAGATGGAGGCCGGCTGGGGCTGGTTCTGGGGTGACCTGTTGTTAACTTCCCCGGGGGGCCGAGCGGAGGGCGGAGGGCGCCTCCAGTCGCCAGAGAGGCCTGCATCCGGGTCTCCCGGGGGGGTGGGACAGGCCCGGGACCCCCTTCTCCCCCTCCAAGGGCGAGACACAGGCCAAGTTGTGAGTATCAAGGAGGGGGCGTGGGGGGGGGGTCTTCCAGTGGGAGAAGGACACCCTGGGGGGAGGCTTCCCCGATCCCTGCGCCTTTTCCTCAAGTGTAACGTGTGAACGCCAAGAGATGCGTGTCAGGGGCTCAGAAAAGGGGGGGGTCATTAGAAAGCATCCAGTTCATCTCCTCATTAGGACTTAAGTGGTAGGATCACTTAGTTGCCCTTTGCCCCATTGATTCAACACACTCGGGGTGCGTCCACATTGTGGAGTTAACGCAGTTTGTCACCGCTTTAAACCGCTATGGCTCAGTGCTATGGAATCATGGAAGGTGTAGTTTTAGAAAGCCTTGAGGCTTCCTTGGTTCCTCAACAAACTACAACTCCCAGGTTTCTATTGCAAACTTGGGCCCTCCAGGTGTTTTGGACTCCATCTCCCACAATTCCCAGCAGCATGATGGGGACTAGGTTCTTGTGGGGTTTTTCGGGCTATATGGCCATGTTCTAGAGCAGTGGTTCTCAACCTGGGGTGCATCCACATTGTGGAGTTAACGCAGTTTGTCACCGCTTTAAACCGCCATGGCTCAATGCTATGGAATCATGGAAGGTGTAGTTTTAGAAAGCCTTGAGGCTCCCTTGGTTCCCCAACAAACTACAACTCCCTGGTTTCTAATGCAAACTTGGGCCCTCCAGGTGTTTTGGGACTCCATCTCCCAAAATTCCTAGCAGCATGATGGGGACTAGGTTCTTGTGGGTTTTTTCGGGCTATATGGCCATGTTCTAGAGCAGTGTTTCTCAACCTGGGGTCCCCAGATGTTTTTGGCCTACAACTCCCATAAATCCTAACAGCTGGTAAACTGGCTGGGATTTATGGGAGTTGAAGGCCAAAAACATCTGGGGACCCCAGGTTGAGAACCACTGTTCTAGAGGCATTTCTCCTGACGTTTCACCTGCATCTATGGCAAGCATCCTCAGAGGTAGTAAGGTCTGTTGGAAGTAGGAAAATGGGTTTATATATCTGTGGAATGACCAGGGTGGGACAAAGGACTCTTGTCTGCTGGAGCTAGGTGTGAATGTTTCAACTGACAGTGCCTGGGGCAATCTTGTTGAGAGGTGTTGATCTAATCCCATTTTCCTACTTCCAAAAGACCTCACTACCTCTGAGGATGCTTGCCATAGATGCAGGCGAAACGTCAGGGAGAAATGCCTCTAGAACATGGCCCTGTAGCCTGAAAAAAACCCACAAGAGCCTAGTGATTCCAGCCATGAAAGCCTTCGACAATACAATGATGGGGACTCGTTCTCTGGGTGTTTTTAAGCAAAGCCTGAATGGCCATCTGTCAGGAGGGCTTGTTTTGGGTGTTCCTGCATGGCAGAAGGGGTTTGGTCTGTGTGGCCCTTGTCTCTTCCAACTCAATGATTCTACAATTCTCTTATTCTGTGTGTATATGTGTACACACATGCGTGACCGCATTTCTGTGTACGAACCCACACGATCTGTTCAATCATCTGGAGAGGCTCTGCTCATGCCCCCACCTCCTTCGCAGGCACGATTGGTGGGGATGAGGGAGAGGGCCTTCTCGGTGGTGGCCCCCCGACTCTGGAATGCACTTCACAGGGACATCAGACATACCCCATCTCTGGCAGTCTTTAGGAGGAGCCTGAAAACGTGGTTGTTCCAGTGTGCCTTCCTAGAATAAGGAAAACTCACAGCAATATACCCTCAAAATGCACTTTACTACAGATTTAGGATTGACTGCTTTCCCTCATCTCTGAAAATCCTATCCCAATTATATCTTGCCTTGATCACGTCGGCATATTCTTAGTTTTAACCTATTACATTTGGCCCAGCCATTGGTTTTAAATGCTTATATGTCACTTTCAATTGTTTATTGCTTATTTTTGTTTATGTGATTTATATGATTTGTATTTTATTGAGTGTTTTATTGATGTTTTGTTTATTGATGTTTGTTTATTGATGTATTTTGGGCTTGGCCTCATGTAAGCCGCACCGAGTCCCTTGGGGAGATGGTAGTGGGGTACAAATAAAGATTATTATTATTATTATTATTATTATTATTACAGGGGTATATATGTGTATGGGAGGAGAGGAGTCATACTGGGGAGTCGGGCTCTTCCTCGTTGGGGAATCTTTGCAGCTCTCTGTCTTGATGCATGACAGGCAGGATTATTTTTAATATATATGTGTTACAGCGACAATTTTTGTGCTTATATTGTTTTGTTAGTAATAATAATAATAATAATAATAATAATAATAATAATAATAAGGTGGTCCCAGTAGTGGTTGGCACACTGGGTGACGTGCCTAAAGACCTTGGCCTGCACTTAAACACAATCAGCACTGACAAGATTACCATCTGCCAGCTGCAAAAGGCCACCTTACTGGGATGTGCCCGCATTATTCGCTGATACATCACACAGTCCTAGACACTTGGGAAGTGTCCGACATGTGATCCAATACAACAGCCAGTAGAGTGTCTGCTGTGGACTCATCTTGTTGTGTAAAAAAAGGTTGTCCCCAGACATTAAGTCCGGTCATGTCTGACTCTGGGGTGTGATGCTCATCTCCATTTCTAAGCCAAAGAGCCAGTGTTGTCCATAGACACCTCCAAGGTCATGTGGCCGGCATGACTGCATGGAGTGCCGTTACGTACATATTATGTTGTGTACATAATAATAAACTTTATTTATACCCCGTCACCATCTCCCCAAAGGGGACTCTGAGCAGCTTACATGAGGCCAAGCCCAGCGATACATTACAGCAACATAAAAAAATTAAACAACAAAATTACATCTCAATAAAATAAAATAAACCAATCAAGTAAAATAAACAGTACAAAATAATCACCTCTTAACAAATAATCATCTAATCACCTTTCAACAAAAGTTTGCTCTAGGCACTGTCAGGCCATTATATGCTAATCAAGGTGGTCAGTTGAAACATTCACTCCTAGCTCCAGCAGACAAGAGTCTTTTGTCTCACCCTGGTCATTCCACAGATACATAAACCCTTTTTCCTAGTTCTAACAGACCTCACTACCTCTGAGGATGCTTGCCATAGATGCAGGCGAAACGTCAGGAGAGGATGCCTCTGGACCATGGCCATATAGCCCGAAAAAACCTACAACAACCCAGTGATTCCGGCCATGAAAGCCTTCGACAATACTTAGTACAAAATAGTATAATGGAAAATAAAACACAGTGGGCGGTCCAAATGCATGACATAAAATGATAAAACACTGGATGAGATAGTAATGAAAAGGTACATTTGTGGGGGGGGGGGGGTAAACAACACAATCTTATGTTTATGTTGTTTACTCTATGTATTGATGACTTTACTTGGAAACCGCTCTTGAGTCCCCTCGGGGGGATGGAGCAGTATATAAATAAAGTTTTATTTTTATATTATTACTAGCCATCCCCTGCCACGCGTTGCTGTGGCCCACATGGGGGTTCTGTGTGGGAGGTTTGGCCCAATTCTATCGTTGGTGGGGTTCAGAATGCTCTGTGATTGTAGGTGAACTATAAATCCCAGCAACTACAACTCCCAAATGTCAAGATTCTATTTTCCCCAAACTCCACCAGTGTTCACATTTGGGCATATTGAGTATTCTTGTAGAGTTTGGTCCAGATCCATCATTGTTTGAGTCCACAGTGATCTTTGGATGTAGGTGAACTACAACTCCAAAACCAAAGGACACTGCCCACCAAACCCTTCCAGTATTTTCTGTTGGTCATGGGAGAACTGTGTGCCAAGTTTTGTTCAATTCCATTGTTGGTGGGGTTCAGAATGTTCCTTGATTGTAGGTGAACCATAAATCCCAGCAACTACAACTCCCAAATGACAAAATCAATTTTTTTTGAGTGAAGGACATACATTGGGTTGTTAGATGTCTTGTGTCCAAATTTGGTGTCAATTTGTCCAGTAATTTTTGAGTTCTTTTCATCCCACAAACAAACATTACATTTTTATTTATATAGATGCATCTATTCTTTTTTGCTCTCTAGAAGCAGTCTTGCATAGATGGAGACTTGTGGTGAAGTGTGGCCAGAAGGCCAGCACTCCCTCGACGCTTCAGCTGCTGTTCGCACTACCACAAGAACCATGGAAAGGTGTGCAGTTCTCTTCTCAGACGTAGAAGATGACCCATCTCTCCTGACAGACAATGGGATGGGCGCCCGGGCCCCTTTCCACTGCTCTGAGTGTGACAAAAGTTTCCGTTATCGCTCAGATTTGCGCCGACATTTTGCCCGGCACACGGAGCTGAAGCCTTTCCAGTGCCCGCACTGTGTCAAGAGCTTTAAGCATTCCTTCAACCTGGTGAACCATATACGGAGCCACACCGGGGAGCGCCCTTACCGCTGCACCATGTGCCCCAAAGGTTTCCGGGACTCGACGGGGCTCCTCCACCACCAAGTGGTGCACACCGGGGAGAAGCCATACTGCTGCCCCGTCTGTGAGCTCCGCTTCTCCTCCCGAAGCAGTTTAGGCCGCCATCTCAAAAGGCAACACCGCACTTCTGCCGCGGCCGCAATCCCTCAGGCACCCGTGCCCCGCTGCCTGTCCTGTGGCAAAGAGCAGAGCCCTCTGGGCCACCTCTGCAGTGCTGGCCGAGGACGGGCCACTCCCTTTGGATGCGGGGCCTGCGGGCGGCACTTTCAGTTGGCGTCGGAGCTGCGTCGCCATTGGCTGGCCCATACTGACATCAAGCCCTTCAAATGCCCAGAGTGTGAGAAGGACTTCAATGCTGCCTCCCTGTTGGAGCGCCACAAACTCACCCACGTAAAGGGCAAGCCACCACCGTGCCCAGTTTGCTCTGAAAAGGTTCAGCAGAGCGACACGGTGCTAGAATCACCGAGTTTGGAAGCAGAGCCAAAAGGAGAGCGGAAGGAGGGGAAAGACCCGCAGCATAGCAGAGGCTGCCCGACCTGCCAGCCTCCAGACACCCGCCCCCAAGAGACTCTGTACCAGTGCGACTGCGGGACCTTTTTCGCCAATGGCAACACCCTGGCCGCTCACTTGACCGCCCATGGAGGGGAGCCTTCCTTCACGTGCGGCATTTGCAGTCAACCCTTTGCGAACTTGCAGATCCTGGAGGAGCACCAGCTCAGCCACGCCGTCTCTGCTTCGTCGATGCCGGGGCCGGGCAGCGAGTTGGAGCGCCACCTTTTGCCCCAGCTGGACCTTCGGACATTCCCCTCTCGACCCGGAAAGAAGCTTTACAAATGCAGCGAGTGTGAGAAATACTTCCGCAGCCCCCGGGATCTGGACCGCCACGTTTTGGTGCACACCGGGGAGAAGCCCTACCAGTGCACCGAATGCGGCAAATTCTTCCGGCACGAGTGCTACTTAAAGCGGCACCGCCTGCTCCACAGCGGCGACCGCCCTTTCAAATGCTCCGTCTGCCACAAAGGCTTCATCACCTTGAGCAACCTCTCTCGCCACGTCAAGCTGCACCGTGGCATTGATTAATGAGAGAAACCACCATCTCTGGGTTGTAGGTTTTTTCGGGCTATATGGCCATGTTCTAGAGGCATTCTCTCCTGACATTTCGCCTGCATCTGTGGCAAGCATCCTCAGAGGTAGTGAAGGAACCTCACTACCTCTGAGGATGCTTGCCATAGGTGCATGTGAAAGATCAGGAGAGAATGCCTCTAGAACATGGCCATATAGCCCCAACAAAACCTACAACAACCCAGTGATTCCGGCCATGGAAGCCTTCGACAATACACCCCCATTTCTGCCTAATTAGAGCCCCCATCAGCACAGTTTTCCTCTACCTCCAACCTGCAACGGCAGCGGAAGTGATCGGTTTCGCTGGAAACGTCACTCTGGCGAACGTGATTGAATTTTGCTCGTCCTTTACCCCTTTCCCTGGTCTGTTACTATAGGGCAAGGACTTGCCGTATTGAAATGAATGGAGAAAACAAGTATTATTGTTGTTATTTACTATTGCTCCACTACTGTTAAATAGAGTATGTTGCACATGCTTGGCAGTTATAACCTCTTGGGGCAGCAATGAAGGCGTGCTTAGATTGGAAATTGAGATTTTTTTTAGATTCTTAATATCCAAAGGCACAGTGATCCCATTCCTCTAAAATTTACCCCTTGGTCAAAGCTGCTGCTTCTGTAGTTACTTGAGAATGGTGCTAAGACGATTTTGTCAGTGCTCAGTGGTTCCCAGATTGGGAGGTGGCTCTTCTAGTTCTCATACAGGACATAAGGTTCTCCAACGGCAACGTCTGATGAAGTGCTTAGCTGGGAAGCAGGTTACTCTCCCCTTCAGCACTTCCCAGTCTCTGTAATAACAAGAATCTCTAATATAGGAATAGGAAAATTTTGGTCTTCCCAAAGTTTTGGCCTGAAACTCCAATTGCCCTCACCCAGTATGGCCAGTAGATAGGGATTGTGGGAATTATAGTCTAAAACATTGAGGACCAATGTTTCTCTGTCGTCTCCTGAAGGCAGGCAAGTGTAGATAGAACAAATTTCATGCTGAGGGACTGTAAACTCAGACTTTGGTCTTAACAATGTTTTGGTCTCCAGCTCTCAGAGTTTCTAAATGTGCTGGATGGGGCTTTCAGGAGTTGAAATCCAAGTCTTCTAGGAGGCCAAAGAGTGAGAATGTCTCCTGTGAAATGAGGTGACTCTTCTCCTTTTCTTCCGCTTTGATTTCTTTAACGCAGAAAGGAATTATGTGAATTTTCTGCCTTTTCTCTCCAAACTGAGAGGCATCTTGTCATCACAGATACCAAATGGTATAATGGCCGAAGTGGCTGCTCTGCAAAACATTTCCTGCTCTCCAAAACATCCCATCTATGGGATGTGAAGAGTGGACTGAGAGGCTGAAGAGGTCTCTGCAGCCTCACGCAGCTACTCTTCCAAAGGCTTTGGAACAATTAAACCCGTTCACTGTCCATCTAAGCTCATAGGACAACTGCATCTCTTGTTTAGAGGGAGGCTCTGGAAAGTTGGAAACTGATTATGTCAGCGAACGATATATCAAAGTGATTATCATATCAGAGCCCTCATATTTGCATTGTTAAATAGCAACATCCCTAAGGAAAAATGCAGGAATCATGTTCAACAAAAACAAAAATATGTTGTTGAAGGCTTTCATGGCCGGAATCACTGAGTTGCTGTGAGTTTTCCAGGCTGTATGGCCATGTTCCAGAAGCATTCTCTCCTGATGTTTTCCCCTCACTTGCCTAGTTTCCAACAGACCTCTCAACCTCTGAGGATGCCTGCCATAGATGTGGTGAAACGTCAGGAGAGAATGCTTCTGGAACATGGCCATACAGCCCAGAAAACTCACAGCTAGCTCCAACAGACAAGAGTTCTTTGTCCCACCCTGGTCATTCCACAGGTATATAAACCCAATTTTCCTAGTTCCAACAGACCTCACTACCTCTGAGGATGCTTGCCATAGATGCAGGCGAAACGTCAGGAGAAATGCCTCCAGAACATGGCCATATAGCCCGGAAAAACCTACAACAACCCAGTGATTCCGGCCATTAAAGCCTTCGACAATACAATAATAACTGAATTGTAAAAGCTTAGAAAAATAACTGCAGTGATTCCTCCACATTTGCTAGGGTTGGGTAACAGGCTCCCATAAAAACCAATCAATAAATAGTTATCCCTCCCCCCCCCCTCCCCCATGAGAGAACACCTTTCTAAGTATTTTTTTGTCTTCCAGCATGATTTCGTGGTCAACATCCACTGGATGCTGTCCACAGAATCCACAGACCTGGACATTCCTAGAGAGGATGTTTAAATCCACCAAAGGCAAAACCACAAACAGCTGTACACAAGTCGAATTGTTTCTCATTTGTTCACTTTAGTTCAAAGGCCATTCATTTGTTTCAAAAGGAACAGAAATTTAATTTTTAAAGACCTTAAATCATTTTATTTGGTAGAGCAAAATGACTTTGAAGACAATGTGTTGTCAAATCGACTCTAGGCTCCAGGTGTTGAATGAAGCCTTGCATGTTTGCATAATTTTAATCTGTAGGATTTTTTTAACAATGCTAAACAATACATTTTTTTCCTAATAGCAGGATATTGTTTTGCTTCTGTTTCTGACCCTGTTTCCATTGGTTTTCACTTGCCAAGCAGAAAGCAATTTGTTTTGAATTGTTTCGCTGTGTCTGAAAACTATTGGAAGGCTGAAGGGATGAATTTTCTCACAGGTTCAGCCTCGGTCATTGAAAATGTTTTATAATTAATGCAAATGACATGGAATGACATATTTAGTTGAGTCCACAGCACTTAATGTCTTGGCACCATAAGACAAATCCCGTAATATGTTGAAGTCCATTTGCTTCCAATCAAAACCAAAGAAAGTACAAAAATCTTTGTGCAGGATTTGAAAACAACAAGTCGGCTGATAATGTTTCAGCAAAAAGCGGATCTGGAGTATTTGAAGTGATATTGGAGATTTGGATATATTTCTCCTTTTATTAATCTACATGAGGGCTGGGAGCAGAAAGTGTTTTTGGGCTGACCTTTGTTTACATGTCCCATGATTCAGTACAGCCTCCCAAATTTCAGAGATCGTGCAGGAGATATCAGCACGTCAGGAAGGAATTCAGATCCCTTGGGAATCCAGAAACGACATTGACTTACTACTTCATCACACTAGAGAATGAATCCACTTTAAATCCGGTTGCTACTTCCTGCAGAATTCTAAGATTTGTAGTTTAGGAAGGAACCTTTAACATACATATGGATATGTATGTATGGATAAGAGAATACACACACACACACACACAGAGATATATACACATATATATAACTACAAGAAAGGAGATTCCATCTGAACATTAGGAAGAACTTCCTGACTGTGAGAGCCGTTCAGCAGTGGAACTCTCTGCCCCGGAGTGTGGTGGAGGCTCCTTCTTTGGAAGCTTTTAAACTGAGGCTGGATGGCCATCTGTCAAGGGTGCTTTGAATGCAATATTCCTGCTTCTAGGTAGGAGGTTGGACTGGATGGCCCAGGAGGTCTCTTCCAACTTTATGATTCTCTCTCTCTCTCTCTCTCTCTATATATATATATATATATATATATGGAGTTCCATAAGGACAAAAGTGCAAGGAGTTTTAGGTTCGAAGGAGGAGCAACAGATTTCTATTTGTGCTAAAAATACTACAATTATTGTGCTTCTCTCACCATATATTTATATATACATATATATGTATATCATATCCTTGGAAATCTATAGGAAAAAATGTAAAAGGGGTTTGGAGTGAGAAAGTGAGGGAGGGAGCTCCACATAAATGGCCATTATTGCAAAAGGGTTTTTTGTGCTTCCCTCAGCATAAAAAAGGCCAAAAAGGGAATGAAAAGAAGGGACCCCAAACCTGAGAATGGACCCTCTGGAAGGAAGGGTCAGTGCTGACCTCTTGGCCTTTGCCCAAAACTGACCGACTGACCCCTGAAACCCAGCAATTTGCATCTTTGTCCTGCAGGAATACAAAGCCCTCTCTCTAAAGCTTGACCCCAAAGACCGGATTTAAAGTGGATTCATTCTCTAGTGTATTATTAAACTACAGAGAGGCAAACAGGAAAAAAAAACAGTCTGAAAAATTAAGATGCTGGTTAGGTGCCAGTTTTCCAATTGTAGCCACAAAAAAAGAGATCCAGTCCCTTGGCGGTATTTTTTTGGCCAGAGAGGAAGGCGAAAAGATGAATGGAGAGCATAGGCCCCAAAATATAGGAATTAGATGAATTCAGCCTTGGCCTGCCTGTGGTCTGTTGCCTTTGATAGATTGGTTCTTACATGATCTGTGAATGAATTCAGATTCCAGTAGAGTAATCTGCAATCCCTCACTCCCATTGAATTATTATTTACTGACAAATAGTTGAGTGTTATTCCTCTCCCTCCCCTACCTTTGTTTTGTTTCTTTAAGGTAGACCCTTGAAAGTAATCTAATAAAATACCTTCCCGATCAAATTCCAGTGTCTTATCTTTTGTGGAATGCAAGCCTTCTGGATGGGTAGTTTTCTATGAGTTTGTATCTGTACATTTGTGTCAGAGCAAGGCAGTCAACTCTGATAAGAGATCCATACGTAAGAGAGTGAGATGTCCTTCTCGGGAGGCAGTCCTGGATTTCAAGCCAACTTCTACTTCAGGAATGATCAAGCTGCAAGAGGTTCCATTGGCCCCATGGCAGGTCATACCATCCTGAAAAATGAAACCAGAGTATTGGGAAATTCTCTTTGGGTTTTGTGAAAATCATTTTGGATCAAAGCAGGTATATGTTGGCTCTATGTCAGTGTTTCTCAACCTGTGGGTCCCCAGATGTTTTGGCTTCAACTCCCAGAAATCCTAACAGCTGGTAAACTGGCTGGATTTCTGGGAGTTGGAGGCCAAAACACCTGGAGACCCACAGGTTGAGAACTACTGCTCTATGTGTTGGGGAATTACTATTTATTTGCTGTATTTTATTTTAGCCAGAGAAGAAGAGTTTGTGTGTGTGTGTGTGTGTGTGTGTCAGGAGTGACTTGAGAAACTGCAAGTTGCTTCCAGTGTGAGCAAATTGGCTATCTGCAAGGACATTGCCCAGGGACACGCGAATGTTTTACCATCCTATGGGAGGCTTCTCTCATGTCCCTGCATGAGAAGCTGGCGCTGACAGACGGGAGCTCTTCCCGCTCCCCAGATTTGAACCACCGACCTTTCGGTCAGCAGTGCTGCCAGCACAAGGGTTTAACCCATTGTTCCACTGGGAGTTCCTGGAGAGGAAAGTGAAAAAAAGAAGGAAATTCAACGAATTCAGTGTGCAGGCCACATGCAGCCTACTCCAAGTGCGGTCCAATACAAATCTGATTCAAAGATACAAAGCGTTCCTATGAAAGTTCTTGTTATGTTCCTTCAAATCAATGCTCACTTGTGGGAACTGCATTGTAGGGTTTGCTTCGTGAGATTTGTACAGGCCCCACCCACACTGCCATATAATCTAATTTCTGAATTGGGATTATCTACTTTGAATTGGATTATATTGCGGTTTAAATCCAACTCAAAGCAAATAATCTGTATTTAGAAAACGGGATTATATGGCAGTGTAGATCCAACCTCAGAAGCATGCATTGTTTTTTTCCCTCTTAGGCAGAGTGTGATTTGCCTTTACTAGTGGGTTGTGGATTTTATTTATTTATTTACAGTATTTATATTCCGCCCATCTCACTCTGAAGGGGACTCAGAGTGGATCACAGAACACATATATGGCAAACTTTCAGTGCTGTTATACAATGACAAGACAAGACACTGTTACTTACTTAGGCGATCCCTCGTAGTCCAAGGATGATGATCCTCCAAGTGTAGTTTCCTGTACATAGGCACTGTACATAGGCACTGTACATAGATAGAGATATATAAAGGCTTTCCCATCTTTGGCATCTTGGAGGCAGTGGTTGATTCCAGCCACAGGGGGGTGCTGTTGGTCCATTTTCCCTGCCAAAGAGCTTTGGTATGTAAACAAAGGAAGGGGCTCGAGGCTGTTAGGAATGGTGGGAGTTGAAGTCCAAAACACCTGGAGGGCCCAAGTTTGCCTATGCCTGGTGTAGATGCACATTAATCAGGCAATATCTCACAAAGTACAGGCAAATCTGACTCACAAACTATTCATAGTTAAGAACATGGGTGAGACAACAGGAAGTGGGGGAATTCTACCCCTAGGAAGGAAAATTCACTCCTGGAAAAGTTATCATGGGGGGAAAGGGTCTCCACTGAGGCTTTATCAACAAACCCTTGTTTTCACAACAAGCCAAACTTCAAAATCCAATTCTCACAGGGCCAGAAAGTGAGGTGAAATCTTCTGAATAGATAGCAAAGCAAAGGAGTGTCCCCTTCCCTATGTTATCAAAAGGTAATATATACACACATATATCTGTATGTGTGTGTGTGTAGCTGTGGTTTGACTTTTAAAATGTACCTTACATACAAATTCAACTTAAGAACAAACCTACAAAGGATTCACCCAGGCAGGAAGCAGCCAAGCCTTGAAGCTGCAAGGCTATTCAGTGCTAATCAAGGCGATCAATTGCAACATTCATACCTACCTCAAGCAGACAAGAGTTCTTTTTCCCACCCTGGAGAGTCCACAAATATGTAAACCCCACTTGCCTAGTTTCCAACAGACCTCAGAACCTCTGCAGGTAAAAGGTCAGGAGAGAATGCTTCTGGAACATGGTCATACAGCCCGGAAAACTCACAACAACCCACATCTCATCTGTCCACCTTGGAGGAAGGATGGAAGAAAAAGATAAGCTCCTGAATTTTTGGGAAGGCATTGTTTGTCTGTGCTCCAGTTTTAATCTAGATCCAAAGTCAGGTGGGTTCAGTGGGTGCGGGTGAACTACAACTTCCATATGTAAGTCCCGCCATCCATGGTCCATCCTCCTCCAAACTGCACCAAGATGTAGGATGGGTCATGGGGGCTTTGTGTGCCAAGTTGGGTCTTGATCAGTCATTGGTGTGGATCACAATGGTCTCAGGAAGCAAGTGAAGGTACTGCAAGTCCCATCATCCATGGCCCATCGTCCCACAAACCACACCAGATGTAGAGTAGGTCATGAGGGCTCTGTATGCCAAATTCATTCTTGATCACTCATTGGTGTGGATCAGAATGGTCTCAAGAAGTGAATGAAGATACTGCAATTCTCATCATCCATGGTCCAAAGTCTTCCAAACCGACCCAGGATGTAGAGTGGGTTATGGGAGCTTTGCTTGCCAAGTTCAATCTTGATCTGTCATTGGTGTGGACCACAGTGGTCTCATGAAGTGTGTAAAGGTACTGCAAGTACCATCATCCATGGTCAATCCTCTTCCAAACTGTACCAGGATGTAGAGTGGGCGATGGGGGATCTGTGTGCCAAGTTTGGTCTTTATTGGTAATTGGATGAGGGTCGTAGTGTTCTCGGGATGTGAGTGAAGGTACTGCAAATCCCATAATCCATGATCCATCCTCACCCAAACTACACCAGAATGTAAAGTGGGTCATGAGGAGTCTGATGCCAAGTTTGGTTGTGGTCTCTGATTTGTGGGGGCCTCAGTGTTCCGTGGGAAGTGAGTCTGGTGAACATCCTGGACATTATTCTAGATATATAAACTCCACTTGCCTCGTTTCCAACAAACCTCAAACCTCTGAGGATGCCTGCCATAGATGTGGGTGAAACGTCAGGAGAGAATGCTTCTGGAACATGGCCATACAGCCCTGAAAACTCACAGCAACCCAGTGATTTCGCCCATGAAAGCCTTCGACAACACACAGAATTTATCTTGTTCTTAACTTGGGAACTGTGTGTAACTCGCTTGGCACAATTACAACTTTCAACCTGGCAACCATACATAGGTTTTTTTCAGCATTGGAAGGCATGATAGAAATAGCCTGTCCTTAAAAAAAAAACCAATCCGGCTGTCCGTGAGCTCTGATTGGTCCGCATTTACATCTCCTTCCCGCTGATTGGTGAGAACGCGCTGGCATTTTCCCTCCCGCAGGGAGGCGGAGCTCTGGAATTCTCTGCCTGTTTCCACTCAGGTCCGACCTCAGAGTATATAAACCCCAGCTTCGACAGCTTCACAGCCATTCGCAAGCGTTCTTCTCTTGGGTGGTTGTTCTCTGTGAAGCTGCGGAGATGTCTGGGCGTGGAAAGGGAGGCAAGGGTTTGGGGAAAGGAGGCGCCAAGAGGCACCGCAAGGTCCTTCGCGACAACATCCAGGGCATCACTAAGCCGGCCATCCGCCGCTTGGCTCGCCGTGGGGGAGTGAAGCGCATTTCGGGCTTGATCTACGAAGAAACCCGCGGTGTGTTGAAGGTCTTTTTGGAGAACGTGATCCGCGACGCAGTCACTTACACGGAGCACGCCAAGAGGAAGACCGTCACCGCCATGGATGTGGTCTATGCCCTCAAGCGCCAGGGCCGCACTCTGTATGGCTTTGGAGGTTAAAATACTTGAGTTTCCTGCTTCTGTAAACAAAAGGCCCTTTTCAGGGCCACACAAATATTCCTTTGAAAGAGCTGATGTCCGTTTGCCATATTTCTGGTTGCTGCATGAAGAACAACATGTCTTTCTTGGCGTTTTTACAATTATTTCCCACTTGATATTATTTTATATTTAATTGTATTTTATAAGTTCTTGCCATTGCCAGCAGGGAACAAAGAAAGCCAAAGGGGGCGTGGCTTCTGGTTTCCCGCCAAAAAGCTGCAAAGCGCGGCAAATTCAAAAAAAAAAAAATCCTTTAAGACGAACCACAACTTTTAATTTGGGGATATTGATCCACTTGTTTATTAAGATCTCGGGTATTTTATTTATATAATTTTGAGAATTTAATATCAAGAAAGATGCCAGTCATAACCTAAACTTACCCAAAGGCTGCAGGTGCTATTGGTCATTCATTCAGATCTCCACAGTGGTCAGTATCGACGTGAGAACACAATAAATCTTTTTATCAAAGGTACAAAACTCTCAAGAAGGTGTCTTTTTGTTACATGGGTGAATTAATATTACTCGCAGTGTGGTATGGTATTGCTTTGTTGGTATAACTAAAAGGTTTCTGCATTGAACATAAAGTGCCGCAAGGTGGCAGCAGAGAGCAAAGGATGAAAAAGAGAACCCTATGCATCCAAATTCCTTTTTAAAGTCTTTCAGTGCACTTTCACCAGGCCTAGGCAAACCTGGTGTTTTGGACTTCAATTCCCACAATTCCTAACAGCCTCAGGCCCTTTCGTTTTCCCCCTCAGCCGCTTAAGGAACGGGCCTGAGGCTGTTGGGAATTGTGGGAGTTGAAGTCCAAAGCACCAGGAGGGCTGAAGTTGGCCTATGCCTGTTCTAACCTCTAAGGCAGCGTTTCTCAACCTGGGGTTTGGGATCCCTGGGGGGGGGGGGGAGTCACGAGGGGGCCCCCAAAAGGGTCGCCAAAGACAATAGGAAAACGCAGCATTTTCTGTTGGTCATGGGGGTCCTGTGTGGGAAGTTTGGCCCAATTCTATTGTCGGTGGGGTTCAGAATGCTCTTTGATTGTAGGTGAACTATAAATCCCAGCTATTACAACTCCCAAATGTCAACAGTTTTCCCCTCACTGAACACATTTGGGCATATTGAGTATTCATGCCAAGTTGGGTCCACACCCATCATTGTTTCAGTCCACAGTGCTCTCTGGATGGAGGTGAACTACAACTCCCAAACTCAAGGTCAATGCCCATCAAACCATTTTCTGTTGGTCATGGGAGTTCTGTGTTCCAAGTTTGGTTCAATTCCATCATTGGTGGAGTTCAGATTGCTCTTTGATTGTAGGTGAACTATAAATCCCAGCAAATGTCAAGATCTCGTTCCCCCAAACCCGACCAGTGTTCACATTTGGGTATATTGAGCATTCATGCCAAATTTGGTTCAAATCCATCATTGTTTGAGTCCGCAGTGCTCTCTGGGTTTGCGTGAACTACAACTCCAAAACTCAAGATTAATGCCCACCAAACCCTTCCAGTATTTTCTGTTAGTCATGGGAGGTCTGTGTGCCAAGTTTGGTTCAATTTCATCATTGGTGGAGTTCAGAATGCTCTTATATTGTAAGTTAGCTATAAATCCCAACAACTACACCTCCCAAATGACCAAATAACACCCCCCCCCCTCGCTCCACCAGTATTCAAATTTGGACATAATGGTATTTGTGCCAAATTTGGTCCAGTAAATGAAAGAAAATACATCCTGCATATCAGACATTTACAATTTATAACAGTAGCAAAATTGCAGTTATGAAGTAGCAACGAAAATAATTTATATGGTTGGGGGTCACCACAACATGAGGAGCTGTATTAAGGGGTTGCAAAATTAGGGAGGTTGAGAACCACTGCTCTAAGGTGGTGAATGTTGGGTACAAACAGCAAAGGAAAGGGCCTGAGGCAGTTAGGAATGGTGGGAGATGAAGTCCAAAACACCTGGAGGGCCCATGTTTGCCCATGCCTGGTGTCGCTGAACCTTAATCAGGCAATATCTCACAAAGTACAGGCAGATTCCTGCTTCTTGGCAGGGGGTTGGACTGGATAGCCCATGAGGTCTCTTCCAATTGTTATGATTCTAGATTTGACTTACAAATGACTCCTAGTTAAGAACAGGTGTGAGACGACTCATAGGTAAGAACAGCACCAACTGCTGCTCTGGGCCAGAGTGAAGAGAGAGGCAGCCAGGGGACAGTTCCACCTTGTCTTCTGTGCTATGCTAATAATTAAATATATTGTATATGCATACAATATTTATAATATTATAATGTAATACAATATAATACTAATACGATATTATAATTATATATTTTATATTACATGTAATATTGCTAATAATATTACAATATAATGGTATAGTACAATCTATATCTATATATCTATATATATAATAAAGAAGAGTGTTTGTATGCGAAGGGCGGAAGTGCGGAGGGCGGAAGTGCGGAGGGCGGAAGTGCGGAGGGCGGAAGTGCGGAGGGCGGAAGTGTGGAGGGCGGAAGTGCGGAGGGCGGAAGTGTGGAGGGCGGATGTGTTTGTGGCAGCTTTCCGATTGGCTGCCACTGTGGTGCTATTTGCATGTGGTCTCTGATTGGCCACTTCAATAGGAGCCCCTGGTGGAGAAAAGAGTTCATGACAGAAACAGGGCATGACAGAAGGAAATTTGCATATGGTCTCTGATTGGCCAGCCTCAAATCCAACATTCCGAGATGACAAAGAGAGGAAAGGAAAGGCCAAAGGGGGCTGGGTCAGAACACTCCCAATACAGACCGAAATAGGCACACAGAGCCCCCATCACCCACTCCACATCCTACTGCAGTTTGGAGGAGTATGAACCATGGATGATGGGACTTGCAGTACCACCACTCACATTCTGAGACCGCTGTTAACCTTATCCAATGACTGATCAGGACCAAACTTCGCACAGAGACCTCTCATGACCCACTTTACGTCCTGGTGTGGTTTGGCCGGGGATGGACCGTGGATTATGGGACTTGCAGTACCATTGCTCAATTCTTCAGACCACTGCAACCCTCATCCAATTACCAATAAATACCAAACTTGGCACACTGAGTTTCCATGACACACTCTACATCCAGGTGCAGTTTGAAGGAGGATGCACCATGGACGATGGGACTTGCAATACCTGCACTCCCTTCCTAAGACCATTACAACTGCCAACAATGATGGATCAGGACCACAATTTACACAGAGAGCCTGCATAACTCACTCTACATCCTGGTGCGGTTTGAAAGAATTTGACAATGGATGATGGGACTTGCAGTCACTTCACTCACTTCCTGAGACCACTGAGACCCTCGCCAATGACTCATCAAGACCAAACTTGGCACATGGAGCTTCAATGACCCACTCTACATCCTGGAGCAGTTTGGAGGACGACAGACCATGGATGATGGGACTTCAAGTACCTCCACCACCCAAGACTGCTGCAAAACTCATCTAATGACCAATCAAGACCAAAGTTGGCACACAGAGCCCCCATGACCCACTCTACATCCTGCTGCAGTTTTGGAGAAGGGTGGACCATGGATGATGGAACTTCCAGTACCTTCACTCACATTCTGAGACCTCTGCAAACCTCATCCAATGACGGATCAAGACCAAACTTGGCACATAGACCTCTCATGACCCACTTTACGTCCTGGTGTTGTTTGGAAAAATTTGGAGATGGATGATGGGACTTGCAGTACCTTTGCTCACTTCCTGAGATCACTGAGACCCTCGCCAATGACTAATCAAGACTAAACTTGGCACATGGAGCTCCAATGACCCACTCTAAATCCTGCTGCAGTTTGGAGGAGGACAGACCATGGATGATGGGACGTCAAGTACCTCCACTCCCTTTCAAAGATTGCTGCAACCCTCTTCTAATGACCAATCAAGACCACACTTGGCACACAGAGCCCCCATGATCCACTCTACATCTTGCTGCAGTTTGAAAGGGGATGGACTTTGGATGATGGGACTTGCACTACCTTCACTCACTTACTGACACCACTGCCACCCTCATCTAATGACTGATAAAGACCAAACTTGGCACACAGAGCCCCCATGACCCACTCTATATCCTGCTGCTTTTTGTAGGAGGATGGCCCATGGAGGATGGGACTTCAAGTACCTTCACTCACTTCCTGAAAATAATGCTGTCATTATCCAAAGACCAATAAAGACCAAACTTGGCATACAGAACCGCCATTACCCACTTTCTCTAATAACCCGGGCAACGCCGGGTCCCCAAGCTAGTCTATAATAAAGAAGAGTGTTTGTTTGTATGGGAAGGAAGTGTGGAGGGCGGAAGTGTATGTGGCAGCTTTCTGATTGGCTGCCACTGTGGTGCTATTTGCATATGGTCTCTGATTGGGCAGCTTCAACAGGAGCCCCTGGTGGAGAAGAGGGTTCATGACAGAAACGGGGACATGACAGAAGGAAATTTGCATATGGTCTCTGATTGGCCAGCCTCAAATCCAACATTCCGAGATGACAGAAAAGGAAAAGGCCAAAGGGGGCTGGGTCAGAACACTACCAATACAGACTGAAACTGGCACACAGAGCCCCCATCACCCACTCTACAACCTACTGCAGTTTGGAGGACGATAAACCATGGACGATGGGACTTGCAGTACCACCACTCACATTCTGAGACCGCTGTTAACCTCATCCAATGACTAATCAGGACCAAACTTCGCACATAGACCTCTCATGACCCACTTTACGTCCTGGTGTGGTTTGACCGAGAATGGACCATGGATTATGGGACTTGCAGTACCTTTGCTCAATTCTTCAGACCACTGCAACCCTCATCCAATTACCGATAAAGACCAAACTTGGCACACTGAGTCTCCATGACGCACTCTACATCCTGGTGCGGCTTGGAGGACAATGCACCATGGACGATGGGACTTGCAATACCTGCACTCCCTTCCTAAAACCATTATAACTGCCAACAATGATGGATCAGGACCACAATTTACACAGAGAGCCCGCATAACCCACTCTACATCCTGGTGCGGTTTGGAAGAATTTGACAATGGATGATGGGACTTGCAGTCACTTCACTCACTTCCTGAGACCACTGAGACCTTTGCCAATGACTGATCAAGACCAAACTTGGCACAGAGAGTCCCCATGACCCACTCTACATCCTGGTGTACTTTCGAGGAGGACAGACCATGGATGATAGGACTTCAAGTACCTCCACTCTCTTCCCAAGACTGCTGCAACCCTCATTAATGTCCGAACTCAACCAAACTTGGCACAAAGAGCCACCATGACCTACTCTACATCCTACTGCGGTTTGGAGTAGGGCATACCATGGATGATGGGACTTGAAGTACCCCTACTTGCTTTCCGAGACTGCTGCACCCTCAACAATGACTGAACAACACCAAACTTGGCACATAGACCTCTCATGACCCACTTTACGCTATGGTGTGGTTTGACTGTGGATCGAGCATGGATTATGGGACTTGCAGTATCTTCGCTCAATTCCTGAGACCACTGCAACCATCATCCAATTTCCGATAAGGACCAAACTTGGCACACCGGGTCTCCATGATGCACTCTACATCCTGGTGCGGTTTGGAGGATGATGCACCATGGACGATGGGACTTGCAGTTCCTTCACTCACTTAGTGAAACTACTGAGACCCTCATCCAATGACTGATGAAGACCAAACTTGCCACACAGAACCCCCATTACCCACTTTCTCTAATAACCCGGGCAACGCCGGGTCCCCAAGCTAGTATAGTAATATATAATACTGATATTGTACTATGCTAATATAATGTATGTATATATGTATCCTGTAAGCCGCTCTGAGTCCCTTTCGGGGTGAGAAGAGCGGCACATAAATGTCTTAAATAAATAATAAATAAACAGGTGTCTAACCCAATCAATGGAAGCTGTCGTTCAGCAACATCAGTAGGTTCTTATGATCCTCATTCAATCCTTTGGAGAGACCAAAGCCTCCTAAGGTTCACTTGGTGGGAATAAAAGAAGCAGGGCCTCTATGGTGGCTGCTTCCAGACTTTACAACAGGCATGAGTAAACTTGGACCCTCCAAGTGTTTTGGACTTCAACTCCCACCATTCCTAACAGCCTAAGACCCCTTCCTTAAGCGGCTGAGGGGGGCAAAGGAAGGAGCCTGAGGCTGTTAGGAATTGTGGGAGTTGTAGTCCAAAACACCAGGAGGGCCCAAGTCGGCCCATGCCTGCTCTAACCTCTAGGTCAGTGGTTCTCAACCTGTGGGTCCCCAGATGTTTTGGCCTTCAACTCCCAGAAGTCCCAACAGCTGGTAAACTGGCTGGGATTTCTAGGAGTTGTAGGCCAAAACACCTGGGGACCCACAGGTTGAGATCCACTGCTCTAGGTGATGAATGGTGGGCACAAACAGCAAAGGAAAGAAGAAAGAATGCAAGAATGTCAAGGACAGGGGAAGGGGGCGGAGCCATGACTAGCGCGCCGAAACCAGCTCAAACGGACCAATCAGGGCGCCGCTGTGTGCTAGCCTATAAATAATAATAGAGCTGGGAAAGGGGGCGGAGCGATGCTTGGCGCGCACGGAACGCCCTTTGAATGGGCCAATCAGGGCGCCGCCCTGCCCATATAAATACTAGGCAGCGCAGTGCAGAGCCTTCAGTATAGATTTTACATTGTGACTTGTTCTCTTTGAAGGAGGGCTTCCAGCTTGACAGCCATGTCCGAGACGGCTCCCGAGGCTCCGGCAGAGGCAGCGCCGGCGGCCCCTGCAGCCAAGGCTCCCGCGGCGAAGAAAGGCAAGAAGGCGGCGGCGCCGAAGGCCAAGAAGCCCCGCAAGGCGTCGGGTCCGAGCGTGACGGAGCTGCTGACCGAGGCGGTGGCGGCCTCCAAGGAGCGCAGCGGGGTGTCTCTGGCCGCCCTCAAGAAGGCGCTCTCGGCCGCGGGCTACGACGTGGAGCGGAACAACAGCCGCGTCAAGCTGGGCCTCAAGAGCCTCGTGGCCAAGGGCACGCTGCTCCAGACCAAGGGCACGGGCGCCTCGGGCTCCTTCAAGCTCAACAAGAAGCCCCTCGACGCCGCCGCCGGCAGGGCCAAGGCCAAGGCGGGGGGGCCGCCCAAGAGGAAGAAGGCGCCCACTCCCGCCGCCAAGGCCAAGAAGCCCTCTGCCGGTGCCGCCAAGAGGCCGGCAGGGGGCGCCCGCAAGAGCCCCAAGAAGCCCGCCTCTGCGCCCCGGAAGAGCCCCAAGAAGCCGGCCGCCAAGAAGGCCAAGCCCGCCCCCAAGAAGCCCAAGGCCAAGAGCCCCAAGAAGGCCAAGTCCCCCCAGAAGCCCAAGGCCAAGAGCCCCAAAGCCAAGCCCAAGCCGGCAAAGAGCCCCAAGGCCAAGAAGACCAAGGCGGCGCCCAAAAGGAAGTGAGCCCAAGAAGGACTTCACACCACCGCCGCCGCCACCCCAACGGCTCTTTTCAGAGCCACCCACAAACATCACCCGAAAGAGCTGGCACTTATCCAAGAGCCATGCAGGAAACGCACCATCAAAGCACTCTCAACAGATAGCCAGACTGCCTCTGTTTAAAAACCCCCCCAAAGAAGCTTCCATACTTTTTAAGCGCAGCCCTCCAGTGAGGAAAGCCTGCCATGGAAGATAGGAAGCTTCTTACACGGAAGTTAATAGCACTCATTCATTCGTGGGATTTTTGGGTAGCCACATTTTAAGGAGGTTACAATGGATCAAATCGGCATGAATCATTTGCTTTAGGTGTAACAAGACTCAAGGACTTTTTCAATTGGGGGAATCGGCTTATCAGTATAAGAGAAGGGTTTTTTTAGGACAAGACTTGGAATGGTAAAGTGTAGCCAAACTCTACTCTTTAAGAAAAATTACCCTCAAAAAAGTGAAAACTTTGGGAAAAAGTCTTAATTTTTTAAAAAAACAAAACACTTGTGTATCGCAAGGGGAGTATCGGGGGTCACCGCAGACCATCAGAAAACAGTATTTCTTGTTGGTCATGGGGGTTCTGTGTGGGAAGTTTGGCCCAATTATATCATTGGTGGGGTTCAGAATGATTGTAGGTGAACTATACATCCCAGCAACTACAACTCCCAAATGTCAAGGTCTATTTCCCCCCAAAATCCACCACATTTGGGCATATTAAATATTCGTGCCAAGTTTGGTCCACATCCATTATTTCGGGGGGGGGGGGGCTGAAGGCGCCCCCCCGCCCCCAGCTACATGCCTGAGTCCTTTGTTCAGATTAGTGAATTGCTTAACCTCTTCAACAGTGGTGTCCGGCCTAATTATATATCCCAGGAATTAATGTTTGTGTGAGAGAATTGGCCGTCTGCAAGTGATGTGGAGATATTGGAAATATAGATATTTACACATATGTGTCAGGTAAAGGTTTTCCTCTGACATTAAGTCCAGTCGTGTCTGACTCTGGGGTGTGGTGCTCATCTCCATTTCTAAGCCGAAGAGCCGGCGTTGTCTGTAGACATCTCCAAGTTCATGTGGCCAGCATGACTGCATGGAGCGCCGTTACCTTCCTGCCTGAGCGGTACCTATGGATCCACTCACATTTGCATGTTTTCAAACTGCTTCTGGGGCTGACAGCGGAAGCACTCCCCAGAATCGAAGCTGTGACCTTTCAGTCAACAAGCTCAGCAGATCAGTGCTTTAACCCGCTGTGCCACCGAGGTCTCCTGTATATACATTAGGAACACTGAAATCAAGTTATCTCTGTATTTGGAAGCCAAACTGACAGGACAAAAGAGATGCTGAAGGATCTGTGTCCAAAGCACAGGCAAGAAGAGGGGGGTGAACATTCCAGTGGGGGGAGATAAGAAAGTCCTGGTACCAACCAATCAAAGTAAAAAGTAAGGAGTTTGGGTTGTTGTAGGTTTTTCCGGGCTATATGGCCATGTTCTGGAGGCAATTTTTCTCCTGACGTTTCGCCTGCATCTATGGCAAGCATCCTCAGAGGCAGTGAGGTCTGTTGGAAGTAGGAAAAATGGGTTTATATATCTGTGGAATGACCAGGGTGAGACAAAGGACTTTTGTCTGCTGGGGCTAGCTGTGAATGTTTCAGCTGATCACCTTGATTTGCATTCAATGGCTTGGAAGCGCCTGGGGGGAATCTTTTGTTGAGAGTTTATCTCCCTCCCTCCTGACAGGTCAAAAGTAGGCCCCTCGTGGATGTTAAGCTGTTCTTTAGGGAGGAAAAAATGCTGAGACATGCCCCTTGCATGTTGGAAGATATAATTTGATATTTCTATGTGATGTGATGATGTGTTTGTTTGATGAGAAACTGCAAGTCGCTTCTGGTGTGAGAGAATTGGCTGTCTGCAAGGACGTTGTCCAGATGTTTTGAAGTTTTTACCACCCTTGTGGCAGGCTTCTCATGTCCACACATGAGCTGGAGCTGACAGAGGGAGCTCATCTTGGATTCAAACCTCCAATCAGCCTTCAGTCCTACAAGGGTTTTGACCCATTGCACCACCAGGGGCTCTATAGGATATTCATATTACAGTGTAGATCAGGCCTGGGCCAATTTGTGGCCTCAGGGTGCTTTGGACTCCAAGTCCCAGCATTCCTAACAGCCTCAGGCCCTTTCCTTTTCCCCCCGAGGCCACACCTGGGGTAGATGCATCCAATATAAAACGAGGTAAGCAGCAGCGGAAAACAAGCTCTTTGGTGACAAGGTTGGTGGCTCTTAAAAGAGCCTTTGGGTCGTTGTGAAAGTGAAGGTCCTTCAAGCCCTCTCCCCGCGGATGCGGCGGGCGAGCTGGATGTCCTTGGGCATGATGGTGACGCGCTTGGCGTGGATGGCGCAGAGGTTGGTGTCCTCGAAGAGCCCCACCAGGTAGGCCTCGCTGGCCTCCTGCAGCGCCATCACGGCCGAGCTCTGGAAGCGCAGGTCCGTCTTGAAGTCCTGCGCGATCTCCCTGACGAGGCGCTGGAAGGGCAGCTTCCGGATGAGCAGCTCCGTGGACTTCTGGTAGCGGCGGATCTCCCTCAGGGCCACGGTGCCCGGGCGGTAGCGGTGAGGCTTCTTCACGCCCCCGGTGGCCGGCGCGCTCTTCCGAGCCGCCTTGGTGGCCAGCTGCTTGCGGGGAGCCTTCCCACCGGTGGACTTGCGGGCAGTCTGCTTGGTCCTGGCCATTTCTTCAACTCGGCAACAGCAAAACTGTCGACAACCTCCTCTTTTTCACTTCACTTCAGCACTGACAATTTCTGCACGCCGCGCTGGCTATTTATAGCCACTTCCCCTCCTCCTGATTGGCTGAGCGTCTCAAGTCGGCCGTTGGGGATTTTCGAACCTCCCGCGCTCTGTTATGATTGGATCACTGACCCTAAGCTCTTTCTGATTGGTTACTGACGCTCCTCCACCCCCACGCTCTGCCTTTGTTCTCTGTTCTGAGGGATTGTTTCTCCTAGCAACAAACCCCGCCCCTTTCGCTCCTACCCTGACGACATCTGGTGCTTCCATTATCTGGTAAAGACACTACTCAAGATTGACATTCAATCCCTGAGCATCTCAAGTCGACCGTTGGGGATTTTCAAACCTCCCGCGCTCTGTTATGATTGGATCACTGACGCTAAGCTCTTTCTGATTGGTTACTGACGCTCCTCCCCCACGCTCTGCCTTTGTTCTCTGTTCTGAGGGATTGTTTCTCCTAGCAACAAGCTCCGCCCCTTTCTCTCCTTCCTTGACAACATTTGCTGCTTCCATTATCTGGTAAAGACACCACCCAAGATTGACATTCAATCCTGAGATTTGATTTTAGAGAAAATTTTAGAAATTTAAGTAAGTAGAAGTATTCAAAGCCACAGCCTTGTTTCTCTGTATTAGAATGCAGGAATCTTGAGTGGAAAATTAATATGAAATACATTTCTCACAAGGAGATTCTGAACCAAGCAAAGATTCCTCTTCTGGAAGGCGTTGTATCCTCCTGCCCCACCAAAGCAATACATGTGATACAGTTTCTGGGGATCTAAAGGCCTTTTCCTGCTGCCTCTGCCTCAAAGATAGCGAAACCAGCCAGGACAAGTCACACACACACACAAAATAACCTTAGGGAGTATCTGCACTGTTTAATTGATGCAATTTGACGCCACTTTAACCTCCTTGGCTCAAGGCTATGGGATCCTGGGATATGTAATTTGGTAATTAGTCACCAGCACTTTTAGGCAGAGAGAACCAAGGGCCTTAGAAAACTACAACTCCAGGGAATCCATAGAATAGAGCCATAGCAGTTAAAGTGGTATCGAACTGCATCAATTCTGCTTGGGTTTCGTTCCAAAACCTCTTTCTCTGGAGATTTTTAAACGGAGGCAGGATGAACATCTGTTGGGAGTGCTTTGATTGTGTTTTTCTGCATGGCAGAATGGAGTTGGGCTAGATGGTCCTTTCCAAATCTAGTTTTTTTTTTTCCATGTCAGGACCAACTTGGGAAACTGCAAGTCGCTTCTGGTGTGAGAGAATTGGTCATCTGCAAGGACGTTGCCCAGGGGATGCCCGGAGGTTTTGATGTGTTACCATCCTTGCGGGAGGCTTTTCTCATGTCCCCACATAAGCTGGAGCTGACAGAGGGAGCTCATCCATGCACTCCCTAGATTTGAACCTCCGCTTAAGCGGCTGAGGGGGGAAAGAAAGGGGCCTGAGGCTGTTAGGAATGCTGGGAGTTGAAGTCCAAAGCACCCCGACACCACAAGTTGGCCCAGGCCTGATCTACACTGTAATATGAATGGGCGTTGCAAGGACGTTGCCCAGGGGACGCCCAGATGTTTTTGATGTGTTACCATCTTTGCGGGAGGCTTCTCTCATGACCCCACATAGGGAGCTGGAGCTGACAGAGGGAGCTCATCTGCGGTCTCCCCAGGTTTGAACCTGCGACCTGTCGGTCTTCAGTCCTGCCGACACAGGGGTTTAACCCACTGCGCCACGGGGGGCTCCAACTCTAGGATTAATGCTCAAGCAGTAACCAGAGCTTCAGTGATATGATGATGCTAACATGATAGTTAAGCCCTGCAGCGGCCTTAGAGATGGTGAAAGTCCAAAACAGCTTGAGGGTGTGCAATACCAATCGCAGTTGCAAAGCAGAAAAAACAAACAGTATTGTCTTGAATTATTATTCAGACATTGCTGGTTACCAGTATTTAAAAACCCCTCTAAAATCAGGACAGTAAACAAAGAACACAAAAAACAGGGGAATTCCAGACAAGAAACAATCAGGGCCAGCTAACAGATCCCAAGAAAGGATTCCTCCAACAGGAAGCAGCCAAGCTTTGAAGCTGCGAGGCTATTCAGTGCTAATCAAACTGGCCAATTGCAACAAAGCACCCTGGACATTCCAGATATATAAACCCAATTTTTCTAGTTTTCAAGAGACTCCTCAACCTCTGAGGGTGCCTGCCATAGATGTGGGCAGAATGTCAGGAGAGAATGCTTCTGGAACATGGCCATACAGCCCGGAAAACTCAGCAACCCATTGCTGTATTATTCTATATCAGCATACAAAGGAATATTGTAAGAACTTTTGAGGCAAATTGGTGAGAAAAAAATCCCAAAGCAATCGTGAAATAAGCAAACACGCACACAAAGTAGACTTCCAACAAAAGATGAAACTTCAATCCCTGAATATACAATAGCTATCAAATATTAGGAGTAGCACACAATTTATGGTCATTCCCATAATAAATTTTAATTTAGTCTTAAATTAATCTTCCCAGTCTCTGCTAAAGAAGAAACAATTTGACTCAAAATGGGATTATTTTTAAATAAGGAAAAGAAGGTCCAGGACACCGCTCTTTTCTTGCAGAAGTTGGTGGCCCTAAAAAGGGCCTTTTGAGTGTTGCTTAGAAGCACAGCACAAGCCTTTCAGCCTCCGAATCCGTACAGAGTGCGGCCCTGGCGCTTGAGGGCATAGACCACGTCCATGGCGGTGACCGTCTTCCTCTTGGCGTGCTCAGTGTAAGTCACGGCATCACGGATCACGTTCTCCAGGAAGACCTTCAGGACTCCACGGGTTTCTTCATAGATCAAGCCCGAAATACGCTTGACGCCTCCACGGCGAGCCAAGCGGCGAATGGCTGGCTTTGTGATGCCTTGGATGTTATCTCGGAGGACTTTGCGGTGCCTCTTGGCTCCCCCTTTTCCCAGACCTTTCCCTCCCTTCCCACGGCCAGACATCTTTCCTCTATCAGTCTGAACTCACAAAGAAAGACTAATCTCGGGTACAGCGCGACAGATTTTATATAGTCTGGGATCCGACCTGAGTGAAAACACCCAGTGTTCTCGCCGCTTGGCAGTCTGCCCAATGAACGTTTCGAATGGGATTTCAAACCGACCAATCAGGAAACGTCGGGCCTCTCTCTTTTTTGCGCCCTTTCTGCTTCTCAACAAACGTCACCCTGCAACTATATGGCTTTAATGTGCTATCGAAGGCTTTCATGGCTGAAATCAATGGGTTGCTGTGAGTTTTCCAGGCTCTATGGTCATGTTCCAGAGGCATTCTCTCCTCAAGTTTGGCCCACATCTATGGCAGGCATTCCCAGAGGGTGAGGATGCCTGCTATAGATGTGGGTGAAACATCAGGAGAGAATGCTTCAGGAGCATGGCCATACAGCCTGGAAAACTTACAGCAACCCATATTTGGCTTTATATTATATTATATTGTATTATATTATATTAATAAGAATATATATATAAGTTTATATATACACACAAAAGGTTATATATATGTGTGTGTGTGTCTATATATAATATGATATGATATGATATGATATATATATATATCTTCATGGCAACCACTTTCTTTTCTGCTTTTTGGTTTAAAGCGATATCACAGCATGAGAACTAGTGTGTGGTGTGGAATTACACACTTCCTATACCTTGTCTGGAGCTTGTAACAAGCTGGAGTCAGACATAGGGTTCATCTGCACTGTAGAATTAATGCAGTTTAACACCATTTTAGCTGCCATGGATTAAGGCTGTACAACCCTGGAAGTTGTGGTTTAGTGAAGCACCAGCACTCTTGGCAGAGGAGACCTTGTAAAACTACAATGCCCATACTTGCATATCATAGAGCCATTTCAGTTCAAGTGGTGTCAAACTGCATTAATCTTCCCAATTTAACCTTAGAGGCAGGTAATAGCAAATCTCTGAATAAATCTTGCTAAGAAAGTCAAATGTTACATTGCCATAAAACAGAATTAACTTGAAGGCACATCACTACATGATCTGACATGTTGTTCTATATCCTATGCATAGGCATTACTATCTGTAGGAATCAAAATGCTTCTGTATTCTTAGATAACATTAGGTAAAGGTAAAGGTTTTCCCTGATATTAAGTCCAGTCATGTCCAACTCTGGGAATTAGTGCTCATCTCCATTTCTAAGCCAAAGAGCTAGCGTTGTCCATAGACACCTCCAAGGTCATGTGGCCGGTGTGATTGCATGGAGCGCCGTTACCTTCCCACCGGAGCGGTACCTATTGATCTACTCACATTTGCATGTTTTCGAACTACTAGGTTGGCAGAAGCTGGAGCTGACAGCTGAAGCTCACGCCGCTCCCTGGACTCGAACCTGCGACCTTTCGGTCAACAAGCTCAGCAGTTTCACAGTTTAACCCACTGTGCCACTGGGGCTCCCATTTAGATAACATTACACTAGATGAAATCCATTTGTACTATAGCTAGTGCTCCAAATTAATCTACTTTGTTAATATTTCAATTGGCTTTCATTGCTGCTGTTTCAGTAAAACTAGGTAACTGATGATGTTTTCTTTATTGGGACTACAGCCCTGCTTTTCTATTTCTGAATTGCAATTTGAAGTCTTTTCACACTACGAATGACTTGTGCAAATTGATTTAGCATTATAGTATATGATTTTTGCAGCAGAGATTTGTGATGGTGGTTTAAAAGTTTCTGTAAATACACAACCGATTTGTTTTAAAGCCATTTATTTTCTCCTTTATTGGTTACTTGCAATTTGTAACAAACACAAATTAAAAGATGGAAGCTGTGTTAGTCTGTTGCAGGAAAAAAGAGAGAAAAAAGAAAGGTGTAAGGTCCATGTAGTATCTTAAAACAAGACTAATAACTGCATCATGGCATCAATGTATACATTTTGCACAGTAAATAAATAATAATATATGTTATTATAGCTTTTACACAAGTGTGTTAGCTGGCCAAAGAGCATTATGGTGTAGCAATCTGATTGCTGGATTAGGAATAAAGAGCAGGGTTCAAATATCAACCTCCCAAAGAAACCCATTGTGTGACTTTTGGCATGTCATACTCTCTCAGCCTCAGAGGAAGGCAAAGAAAAATCCTCTCTGAACAAACTTTGCCAAGAAAACCCTTTGATGGGTCACGTTAGGATCACCATAAGTTCGGAAATATCTTGAAGGCACACAGCAACAAATACGTCTTGATCTCTAAGGTGTTGAAGACTTGTTGCTTTAATGAAAGTCCCATTCATCTTAGGAGGTTTCTTTACTTTCCAGGCAGTAGGGGCATTTAAACAAACCAAAAATGTTGGTGGGTTGCTGTGAGTTTTCCAGGCTGTATGGCCATGTTCCAGAAGCATTCTCTCCTGACGTTACGCCCACATCTATGGCAGGCATCCTCAGAGGTTGTGAGGTTTGTTGTAAACTAGGAAAATGGGGTTTATATATCTATGGAATGTCCAGAGTGTGAGAAAGAACTCTTATGTCTTTGAGGCAAGTGTGAATATTGCAATTGGTCGCCTTGATTAGCATTGAATAGACTTGCAGCTTCAAAGCCTAGCTGGTGGCTACCTGGGGGAATCCATTGTTGGGTGGTGTTAGTTTCCTGTCTGGAATTCCCATTTTCTGGGCGTTGTTCTTTCTTTACTGTCCCAATTTTAGAGTTTTTTTAATTCTGGTGGCCAGATTTTGTTCATTTTCGTGATTTTCATGATTTCCTCTTAGAGAGGTGGAGAGATACTTTTAATTGTGATAAATGGGGAAGAAAAAAACAGCTGAGAAAAAAAATTAGCAGTAAAAAAATCAAAGACCGGTAGTAAAGCCAGAGCCTGGAAGAAGACAATGATGGCTGTTGAGAGGATTAAATAAAGCATAGTTATGACTTCAACTATGTAAATATAATGTATTGTCAAAGGCTTTCATGGCCGGAATCACTAGGTTCTTGTGGGTTTTTCGGGCTATAGGGCCATGTTCTAGAGGCATTTCTCCTGACGTTTCGCCTGCATCTATGGCAAGCATCCTCAGAGGTAGTGAGGTCTGACCTCACTACCTCTGAGGATGCTTGCCATAGATGCAGGCGAAACGTCAGGAGAAATGCCTCTAGAACATGGCCCTATAGCCTGAAAAATCCCACAAGAACCAAGTATGTAAATATACTTATAAACTCTTGGGGGGTGCATTTACTCTGTAGAATTAATGCAGTTTGATACCACTTTAACTGCCATTGCTTAATGCAATAGAATACTGGGAGTTGTAGTTTTGCAAGGTCTTAAGGCTTCTCTTAAGGTCTTAAGGCTTCTCTGGAGCTGAGGAGCCTGCTAATCAAGGTGAAAGAAGAAAGCGCAAAAGCCGGGTTGCAGCTAAACGTCAAAAAAACCAAGATTATGGCAACAAGAATGATTGATAACTGGAAAATAGAGGGAGAAACCGTGGAGGCCGTGACAGACTTTGTATTTCTAGGCGCAAAGATTACTGCAGATGCAGACTGTGGCCAGGAAATCAGAAGACGCTTACTTCTTGGGAGGAGAGCAATGTCCAGTCTTGATAAAATAGTAAAGAGTAGAGACATCAGACTGGCAACAAAGATCCGCCTAGTCAAAGCCATGGTATTCCCTGTAGTAACCTACGGATGTGAGAGCTGGACCTTAGGGAGGCTGAGCGAAGGAAGATCGATGCTTTTGAGCTGTGGTGTTGGAGGAAAGTGCTGAGAGTGCCTTGGACTGCGAGAAGATCCAACCAGTCCATCCTCCAGGAAATAAAGCCCGACTGCTCACTGGAGGGAAAGATACTAGAGACAAAGTTGAAGTACTTGGGCCACATCATGAGGAGACAGGAAAGCCTAGAGAAGACAATTATGCTGGGGAAAGTGGAAGGCAAAAGGAAGAGGGGCCGACCAAGGGCAAGATGGATGGATGGCATCCTTGAAGTGACTGGACTGACCTTGAGGGAGCTGGGGGTGGTAACGGCCGACAGGGAGCTCTGGCGTAGGCTGGGCCATGAGGTCACGAAGAGTCGGAGACGACTGAACGAATGAACAACAAAGGCTTCTCTGCCAGAGTGCTGGTGCCTTCCCAAACTACAGCTATGATTCCAAAGCATTAAAGAATGTCAATACTTTGGAATCATGGTGCTGTAACATTGCAATGTTTGGATTAGTTCCCTCCATGACAGGAAACCTTAAAGGTGCCACTGTATTAATATTCCTGGCCTTGGCATTTTGCAAAATAGGATGTAGCCTTCTTGCTATCCTTCCTCCCTAAATCGTATAAAAGTTTAAATCTCTTATTAATTCAGAAGCCTTTTCTGGCGCCTCCTTAAAAGGACCACAGTTCTTTTGGTGAGAGTGTGGGCGGCCCTGAAAAGGACCTTTGGGTTGACTTAGATTTGAGGGTGGTTTTGGGAAACTTAGCCTCCGAATCCGTACAGAGTCCGGCCCTGGCGCTTGAGGGCATAGACCACATCCATGGCAGTGACGGTCTTCCTCTTGGCGTGCTCGGTGTAAGTCACGGCATCACGGATGACGTTCTCCAGGAAGACCTTCAGCACTCCACGGGTTTCCTCGTAGATCAAGCCCGAAATACGCTTGACGCCTCCTCGGCGAGCCAAGCGACGAATGGCCGGCTTCGTGATACCTTGGATGTTATCCCGGAGGACTTTGCGATGCCGCTTGGCGCCTCCTTTCCCCAGACCCTTTCCGCCTTTCCCGCGACCAGACATGACGGCTAAGAAGTACTGTACTTCCCTCGAAAGAAACAAAGAACAAGTGAAAGCAGCAGCCGATTCGCGGGCTTATATAGCATAGTGCCCGACCTGAGTGAAAACTTCCCAGTCAAGCTTGCGCTCTTTTGTGCCCCGCCCCGCCTCTGTTCGCCACAGCGCTGATTGGTGGATTTTCTCCACCAATCAGCGGCTTAGAGTTTGGTATCTAACCAATCAGGTGCAGGTATGCTTGGGCTAACTTGGAACCTCCGTCTAGGGGAGAAAAATAACTCGTTTGTGTATTTCACAAAGATCTTCGCTTATCTGGTAACAGCAGCAAGGATTAATCTGGGCCAAATTATGGAAAGCACAACAAACACCTTGTTCCTCCAAGGTCATTTACCCGGCCCTCACTCAGGGTCAACCTAAGTCTGAAATAATTTGAAAGCAAACACCTTGCCTTAAAGGAACGGGGATTTTTGATAGAAATGAAAGGCACTGCCATTCTCCAAGTACAGCATAGAGCAGGAAAAAGTCAATGTATTGTCGAAGGCTTTCATGGCTGAAATCACTAGGTTCCTGTGGGTTTTTTCGGGCTATAGGGCCATGTTCTAGAGGCATTTCTCCTGACGTTTCACCTGCATCTATGGCAAGCATCCTCAGAGGTAGTGAGGTCTGTTGGAATTAGGACAATGGGTTTATATATCTGTGGAATGGCTGGGGTGGGGCAAAGAGCTCTTCTCTGCTGGAGCTAGGTGTGAACTGACCACCTTCATTAGCATTTGAAGGCCTGGCTGAGCCTGGGAAAATCCCCTGTTGAGAGGTGTTAAGATGTGCCTGGTTGTTTCCTCTCTGTGTTTTGCTGTAATTTTAGAGTTTTTTATACTGGTAGCCAGATTTTGTTCATTTTCATGGTCTCTTTCTGTTGAAATTGTCCACATGCTTGTGGATTTCAATGGCTTCTCTGTGTAGTCTGACATGGTGGTTGTTGGTGTGGTCCAGCATTTCTGTGTTCTCAAATAATATGCTGTGTCCAGGCTGGTTCATCAGGTGCTCTGCTATGGCTGACTTCTCTGGTTGAAGTAGTCTGCAGTGCCTTTCATGTTCCTTGATTCGTGTTTGGGCAATGCTGCAGCGTTTGGTGGTCCCTATGTAGACTTGTCCACAGCTGCATGGTATACGGTAGACTTCTGCAGAGGTGAGAGGATCCCTCTTGTCCTTTGCTGAACGTAGCATTTGTTGGATTTTCTTGGGGGGAAAGTCCTTAAAAAAAAAAGCGGCCCTCTCGGCCAATCAGAAAAGAGAGAATGCCACTGCCCAATGCCAACACAGCTCGGGCAATTCTTATTTAGTTCTTGTGGGTTTTTTCGGGCTATATGGCCATGTTCTAGAGGCATTTCTCCTGACGTTTCGCCTACATCTATGGCAGGCATCCTCAGAGGTGAGGTCTGCTGGAACTGGGAAAAAAGGGGGTTTATATATCTGTGGAATATATATAAACCCCTTTTTCCCCAGTTCCAGCAGACCTCACTACCTCTGAGGATGCTTGCCATAGATGCAGGCGAAACGTCAGGAGAGAATGCCTCTAGAATATGGCCATATAGCCCGAAAAAACCCACAAGAACTGAGTGATTCCAGCCATGAAAGCCTTCGACAATACATTAATTCTTATTAAAATCGTGGAGCTTTTAACCAATCAGAAAAGGGAGACATCGACGCCATTGTCCATTCACTGCACAGCCTTGGAATTTCCTTTTTTACAAAACGCCTGGCTCTCTCAGCCAATCAGGAGAGGGAGGAGGGAGCTATCAATGCTATTGTCCAATCCCTGCACGGGCCGGGAAATTTTAAATTGTGCCGCTCTCAGCCAATCAGGATAAGTATAGAGGCTATAAATGCCCACCCGCCTCCTGAGAGAGCTCATTTCGTTTTATACTCTTGGCTTTGTACCTTAGTGGAGAGAGGATGGCCAGGACCAAGCAGACTGCCCGCAAGTCCACCGGTGGGAAGGCTCCCCGCAAGCAGCTGGCCACCAAGGCGGCTCGGAAGAGCGCGCCGGCCACCGGGGGCGTGAAGAAGCCTCACCGCTACCGCCCGGGCACCGTGGCCCTGAGGGAGATCCGCCGCTACCAGAAGTCCACGGAGCTGCTCATCCGGAAGCTGCCCTTCCAGCGCCTCGTCAGGGAGATCGCGCAGGACTTCAAGACGGACCTGCGCTTCCAGAGCTCGGCCGTGATGGCGCTGCAGGAGGCCAGCGAGGCCTACCTGGTGGGGCTCTTCGAGGACACCAACCTCTGCGCCATCCACGCCAAGCGCGTCACCATCATGCCCAAGGACATCCAGCTCGCCCGCCGCATCCGCGGGGAGAGGGCTTGAAGACGCATCTCTCCCGCTTTCACAACGACCCAAAGGCTCTTTTCAGGGCCAGCACAACTTCCTAAAGAGCTGGGACACCCTTGCTCAGAGGGTTCCACATTTCAGCCCTGAAGTTCAAGGTGCATCTACGCTGCAGAAGTAATGCAGTGCTATAAGCGGCTGAGGAGGAAAAGGAAAGAGCCTGAGGCTGTTAGGAATGCTGGGACTTGGAGTCCAAAGCACCCCGAGGCCACAAATTGTCCCTTTGCTGTGGCCAATTTTCCCTCTTTTCCTTTTCTTCCCTTTTCCTCTTTCTCCCCTTTCTGCAGGCTAAACATGCCCAGCTCTTTAAGCCGCTCCTCATAGGGCTTGTTCTCCAGACCCTTGATCATTTTAGTCACCTTCCTCTGGACACATTCCAGCTTGTCAGTCTCTTCAATTGTGATGACCAGAATTGGACACAGTATTCCAGGCAGTGCAGACTCAGCCTATATTTATTTATTTACGACATTTATATGCCGCCCTTCTCACCCCGAAGGGCTTTTTATTCAAGATATATATATATATACATACAAGATATATATACATACAATATATTATTAACATAGTATAATATCAGTTTTAAATATTGCTATATTGCACTCTATCAATTATACTGTAATATTATTAGTAATATTACATGGAATATAAATATATAATTATAATATATTATTATTAGTAGTATTATTGCATTACATTACAATATTATAAATTGAACAAGGGATGTAAGACAATACTTCTCCAGGAAGCAGGGTATTACAAAAAATGTGGTGTCCAAAATATGGCAACAACTGTTTAGCATCAAACACAAAGCACTGTCTTGTTGGGTCTTCTTGGGTGACCCTTTGCACCTGGGACTTGGACAATGGTGTATAACAGTAGAAGAGGGTTACATTTCCTGTCCTAAAGAGAATGTTTCTTATATTAATAAGCCAATTCCCCAATTGAATAAAAAGTCCTTATTGGCAGCGTTGTTACACCTAAAGCAAATGATTCATGCCCTCATTTGATCCATGGTAACTTCCTGAAAAATGTGGCTACCCAAAAATCCCATGAATGAATGAGTGCTATTAACTTCCGTGTAAGAAGCTTCCCACCCTCCATGGCAGGCTTTCCTCACTGAAGGGCCTGTGCTGAAAAGGAGTGTGGAAGCTTCTTTGCGGGGCTTTTGAAATAGAGGCAGTCTGGCCATCTGTTGGGAGTGCTTTGATGGTGCGTTTCCTGCACGGCCCTTGGATAAGTGCCAGCTCTTTCGGGTGATGTTTGTGTGTGGCTCTGAAAAGAGCCGTTGGGGGTGGCGGGGGTGGTCTGAGGTCCTTCTCGGACTCACTTCTTCCTGGGCGCCGCCTTGGTCTTCTTGGCCTTGGGGCTCTTGGCCGGCTTGGGCTTGGCTTTGGGGCTCTTGGCCTTGGGCTTCTGGGGGGACTTGGCCTTCTTGGGGCTCTTGGCCTTGGGCTTCTTGGGGGCGGGCTTGGCCTTCTTGGCGGCCGGCTTCTTGGGGCTCTTCCGGGGCGCAGAGGCGGGCTTCTTGGGGCTCTTGCGGGCGCCCCCTGCCGGCCTCTTGGCGGCACCGGCAGAGGGCTTCTTGGCCTTGGCGGCGGGAGTGGGCGCCTTCTTCCTCTTGGGCGGCCCCCCCGCCTTGGCCTTGGCCCTGCCGGCGGCGGCGTCGAGGGGCTTCTTGTTGAGCTTGAAGGAGCCCGAGGCGCCCGTGCCCTTGGTCTGGAGCAGCGTGCCCTTGGCCACGAGGCTCTTGAGGCCCAGCTTGACGCGGCTGTTGTTCCGCTCCACGTCGTAGCCCGCGGCCGAGAGTGCCTTCTTGAGGGCGGCCAGAGACACCCCGCTGCGCTCCTTGGAGGCCGCCACCGCCTCGGTCAGCAGCTCCGTCACGCTCGGGCCAGACGCCTTGCGGGGCTTCTTGGCCTTCGGCGCCGCCGCCTTCTTGCCTTTCTTGGCCGCAGGGGCCGCCGGCGCTGCCTCCGCCGCAGCCTCGGGAGCAGTCTCGGACATGGCGTTCACGCTGGAAATAGTCCTCCTGCAGAAAGAACGAGTCACAATGTCAAATCTATACTGAGGGCTGCGAGCTGCGTCGCATAGTATTTATACGAACACATCGGCGCTGTCATTGGTCCATTCAAAGGGCGTTCCGTGCGCGCCGAATATAGCTCCACCCCCTTTCCCAGCCTTTAGTATTATGTCTAAGACGGAGCGGCGCCCTGATTGGTCCATTCAACGGGCGTTCCTCGCGCGCCAATTATAGCTCCGCCCCCTTCCCCCAGCCGCCATTTTTATTATTATTTACAAGACGGAGCGTCGCCCTGATTGGCCCATTCAACGGGCCAATTAGAGCTCCGCCCCCTTCCCCAGCCGCTATTATTATTATTTACAAGACGGAGCGTCGCCCTGATTGGTCCATTCAACGGGCCAATTAGAGCTCCGCCCCCTTTCCCAGCCGCTATTATTATTATTTACAAGACGGAGCGTCGCCCTGATTGGTCCATTCAACGGGCCAATTAGAGCTCCGCCCCCTTCCCCAGCCGCCATTATTATTATTTACAAGACGGAGCGGCGCCCTGATTGGTCCGTTTGTGCTGGTTTCGGCGCGCTAGCCATGGCTCCGCCCCTTTCCCCCTCTGTCCTTGACATTCTTAGATTCTTTCTTCCCTCTTCC